AACCAGAGGATAGGGAAAAGAAAACATCTTCAACAAATGGTGCTTCTGTTGTAACCTGGATGTCTACATGTAGAAGAATGCAAATAGATCCATCATACTCACACTGTACAAAACTCATGTCCAAAGGGATCAAGGACCTCAACATAAAACTGGATATACTAAATCTCATAGAAGAGAAAGTGGGGAATACCCTTGAAGTCACTGGTACAGGAGACAATTCCTGAACAGAACTCTAATGGCTCAGGCTCTAAGATCAACAATTGATAAATGGGACCTCATGAAACTGCAAAACATCTGTTAAGACAAAGGACATTGTCAGTAGGACAAAACAGTAGCCTACAGATTGGGAAAGGATCTTCACCAACATTATATATGACAGAAATTCTAAGGATCTCATGAAGTTAGACACCAGCAACCCAAATAACCCAATTAAAAAATAGAGTACAAAACTAAACAGAGTTTTCAACAGGATTATCAGGCTGCGAAGCGCATTAAGAAATGATCAGTATCTTTAGTCATCAGAGGAATGCAAATCAAGACAACTCTCAGATTTCATCTTACACTGGTCAGAATCACTAAAATAAAAATAACCAGTGATAGCACATGCTGTCAAGGATGTGGAGAAAAAGGAACTACTCCTCCGTTGCTGGTGGGGGTCCAAACTTGTACAACCACTTTGGAACTCAATTTAGTGTTTTTTCAGAGAACCGGGAATAGTTCTATGTCAAGACCAAGCTATACCACACTCCTGGGCATATACCCAAAAGATGTTTCACCATTTCACAAAAACACTGGATCAGCTATGTTCATAGCAGTTGTAATAGTCAGACTGGAAACAACCTAGATGTATGTCTATCACCTGAAGAATGGGTGAAATGTGGTACATCTACACAATGGAATACTATTTAGCTGTTAAAAACAAAGACAATGATGAGTTTTGCAGACAAATGGATGGAACTTGAGAATATCATGCTGAGTGAGATAACCCAGCCCCGAAAGGACATGCATGCTATGTGTGGATATTAGCTGTAAAATACAGGCTACTTATGCTACTTCCCCATACCTAAAGAAGCTAAACAAGAAGGAAGGCACAAGGGAAGATGTTTGAATTTCACTTAGAAGGGGGAATAACATAGTCATAGGAGGCAGGTGGAAGGAGGGAAATGGGTGGGAGAGCCAATCTGGAAGGCAGTTCAAGGGAGGTTATGGTCAGGTGTGGGGACGGACAGGAGAGATGGCCAGATGGGTTAAGAATGAATGGAAATCTACAACTGACTGGGGTAGTGAGGTGTGTGTGTGGGTATCTCCAGGATGTGACAGAGACCTGGGTAAGGAAGAAAACCAAGAATCAGTGGGGGTGTGGGGGGGGTAACTTTAGCTGTGACTCATAGCATTGTGGATATAGAATCTGAAGAGGCCACCTTCTGTAGCCATATAGGAACCCCAGTGGAACAATAGGGAAACCAACCCACCCACAAAATTTTCCACCCCAAATTTATTCTGTCTACAAGAAATACAGGGATAGTAGATGGAGCAGAAAGTCTAACCAGTAACTGGCCCAACTTGAGACTTGTCCCATGGGCATGCATCAGTCCCTGACACTATTAATGATACTCTGTTATGCCTGCAGACTAGAGTCTAGTTCTCTGAGTGGCTCTACCCAGAAGCTGACACCCACAGCCAAACAGTTGATGGAGCTTGGGGACTTTTATGGAAGAATAGGGGATTGGATTGCTGGCCCTAAAGAGGGTAGGAATTCCACAGGAAGAGCAACAGAGTCAACTAACCTAGGCCCTTGGGGCTCTCAAGAATTTGAACTACCAACCAGAGAACATACTCGGGCTGGACCTAAACCTCCCTGAACATATGTAGCAGATGTGCAGCTTGGTCTTCATGTGGATCCTGAACAACTGGAGTGGAGGGCTATCCCAAAAGCTATTGCCTGTATGTGGGATATGTTCTTCTAGCTGGGCTGCCTCATCTGGCCTCAGTGGGAGAGGATGTGCTTATTCCTGCAGAGGCTTAATGTGTCAGAGTTGGGGGATACCAATAGGGTCCCCACCCTCTCAGAGGAGGGGTGGATGTTCGGAGAGGATTTTGCCAGGAAGTGACTGGGAGGTAAGCAGTGAGTGGGATATAAAGTGAATAAAGAAATATTGGAAAGTTAGCAAAGATTTTCACCTTTGTTTCTTTAAGATAATGCCTTTCATACTCTGCTTTTATGATTTAATCTTGTTTTTAGCAACTTTGTTCTAATAAATCTTGAAAATGTCAACTCTGCATTTGAATCTGCTCCTATCTGTTTATTTGGCATTTATGGAATTTAATTTTGTTGTTGTTGTTGTTACTCTCATTCTTGTTAATCTCTTTGGGGATTTTTTTTTTTATTTTATTTTGTTTTCTTTCCTGCTTTCTTTTTTGGACTCCCCATGTTTTAGTTTCGTTTTTATTCTTGTGATAAAACACCATGAGCAAGACAATTTATCGAAGAGTTTATTTGGACTTATGGTTGGAGAGGGTAAGAATCTAAGATAGTGGAAGAAAGGCCTGATGACACAAGCAGGAAGCTGAGGTCTTACATATTGACCCTTTAAGTTTCACTCAGTGAGAAGAAACTGGGCGTGGCTAGAGTTGTTAAACTCTGAAACCCAGTAACATACCTGGTCCAGAAAGGCCCCACTTCCTGAACCTCCCCAAACAGTGCTGCCAGTTGGGAACGAGGTATCTCAAAAAGCTACTTGGCAAGATCCTATTAAATTATCATATCACGTGTATGAAGATTATGTACTACCCATAATTGATGGGTTTTTTATATTTTCTTATTTGATTTTGTTCTTTATTAACCATATTTTTAAGGTAATCTAGCTTTTTAAAATGTGCCTAATTTCTTCTTAATCTCATTAGCTCTTAATTTTATGAATTTGATTACTCATTTTTAAATGTTTGGATTTTTGTATGCTCCCATTTCATCTTTGTATTTTTTGTTTTCTGTTTTTTTGATTTATTTTTATATTTAATGATTTCATTTTCTGAATTTTTTCTTGTGGTGCTGAGAGTTGAACCCATGGCCTTGGACATCTAGGTAATTGTTCTGTCACTGAGCTACATCCTGACCTCAAATAACTGTTATTTAAAAATCTGTCTGTAAGGTACTAACTGGGAAGTGGTAAGGAGATAGGGGCTGGTGTGTGAATTGGATTGGTCTTAATAATGATAAGTAATGATAAAGATATAGCAGAGAGGAAAAAAGATCTAGAAAGGTTAAGCCAGGCCTATAGACCCTGAAACTCTGGGAACTAAGTCAGGATTATTTCAAGGTCATAGCCTACCTGGACTACAGAGTGAGTTCCAGACCAACCCAAATGATTTAGCCATATCCTTGAGAGTGATGGGGTGAGGCATGAGGCGATTTTCATTATTATTATATTCAGTTTGTCTGGTTTGAATTGTTCAGATTGAAAGATCCAGTAGCTGATTTGTCTATAAAATTGATGGAGGAGTTAGGAATGATTTAACTTAAGTACTGTTAATCATAACAGTGGACAGATATGGCAAGTACGTGGCCTAGGTCATATGAGTTTCACCTTTTCATGTTTATTTTGGAAATCCTAAGCAAAACACTGTTCTTTTTAGTTCCCTATTGTTGAAATGATGGAACTTATATTGTTTGAGCTGACCTTGAACTTGCTCTTAGCCAAGTAGGATCTTGATCCTCCTGCCTTGACCTCCCAAATACTGAGTTTACATGCATGAAACACCATGTCTGGCTTTAAAATTTCCCTGTGAGAAAAAGGTTTTCCTTTTGAGATTTTTTTTAAATGAGAAAAAAGTAGGTTAATGTCCATATGTAGTACAGTTTAAAAGAAGAACATAATGTATATTGTTGTAGATATTTAAATGACTTTATAGAAGTATACTTTATAGGATCTCAAAGCAGGCTACTGTTTTGATAAGCAGAAGCAGAATGATGCATTTTTATTGAAAGTATGTGTGTTCAAACAGTATTTGTGATACTAACAAGCATTGTTTTGCCTAAGAGGAAGACTGGAACCCTTCACAGTGGCCTTTAAATTGTACTTTCTTTGTTTTATGGGATTTACCATTTGAACAAATTAAGTAATTTTAGAAGAGACAGATTTGAAAAGTATTTCAAAAGTTAAAAAAAACTTTTGAAGTAATATGATCAGCTACACAAACATGTGATTCAGGTAACAAGGTCCCCTGGCAGCTGAATTTCTACACACAAAAAAAAACAACTGTGTTTCCTCTGTAAGAACAGTTGAGCTTAAATATATGGTCATGAAGTAAGTTGTCATAGAACACAGGGTGGTGATCAGCTCTTTGTTGAGACAGGAAATTCGAATAGCAGTCTTTTAAAATAGTTACTCTTTTCCTGTCAGGGTAGTAAGACTAAAATAAAATGTTATTTTTTATAAAGTTTGAAGTACTTTGTTATGTAAGGTGGATTTCTTAATATATAAGAGTTGTAAATTATTTCTAATTTCTCATCTTGCTCTTATGTTCCAAGAAAAGATTTAATGTAAAAAAACATTTCTGTTTTGAGCAAAGATAAGTAAACCTGGAGCAATGTTCATCAATTCATACAGTGACATTTTTATTTGTAAAACAGATTTAAATACTCAATGAATTATTGATTTTAGGGCATTTGAGAGGAGGTAAATAATGAAGTTACGATTGAATTGTTCAGACCAAACAAATGTTTAAATTGCATGTGGGTGTTTAAAACTTGGAGTGTTGTGTGTTCTACAGACTTGAGGTCTGTTAAGACTGTAATACTTGGAGTGTTCAGTCTGCACAGAAATTTTATGATAGCAACTATAGCATCTATAGTCATAGGGTAGCTCTAACACATGGACTCAGTAGAAGACTCAAATATTTTAACTTAATTAAAATATTTTATTAAATTTTAATTTTATTTTAATTAAAATTAAATTTTAATTAAATTATTTTAAATTTATATTTTGTGTTTTTTTCCCTAGGTGGTATCATGGAAAACTTGATAGAACTATAGCAGAAGAACGCCTCAGGCAGGCTGGGAAATCTGGAAGCTATCTTATAAGAGAGAGTGATCGGAGGCCGGGGTCCTTTGTACTTTCATTTCTTAGCCAGACAAATGTTGTCAATCATTTTAGGTAAGTCTTCATTTCTAGTTTAAGGTATTTAATATAATACTTCAGTATTTAATCTGATACATACTTAAAAATATATTCACTTTTACAAAAATGAATGACTTTGGTATAATAAACTTGATTTCAATTAAATTATTTAATTAGGGATTTAGAGTAAATATTCTTGAAATGTTTAAGGTTTTTGTTTAAAGGTAGTAATATTGGTTTTTACAATGACAGTTTTCGAATATATGTATAGTTAAAGAATATATTACTACAGATACGTTTTGAAAAAGGTAAAAACTAAAATGGAAGATGTGTAGATTGAGACTGTAGAGTAACAGAAAATACTGTATGGAAGTTGAGGTTGTCCTTAGTTTTTTTTTTTAGCCTCATTATCTTGAAATTCTATACATGTTCACTTCTGTGAGATAAATAAACAGGTATGTACAATTTCAAGTAAGGCATCATATCTATATATAAATATATTTACAGATATTACTATATTCTGTTTAATTTACAGATATTACTATATTTTATTTTTATGGAAGATAATAAAACATAAATCATCTGTAGCCAGTATTAACTGATAAAATGTTTTTGTGTCTTTGACTTAAGTTTTAGAATAAGTTTTAAGATTACTGTCATTCTTATGATAAATTCACATATATAATTTCACAGCAGAATATTTGATCATAATTGTTATGTAATACTTTTATTATAGTTGACATAAATTTCAAGAGATTTGTAAGCTACTAGTCAAGTCTTTATACAATTATTGAGTCTTAAAAATAGAAAGATCGATATCTGAGGGTAGATTTTCAAATATTTGGTTCAGTAACATAATTGAGGCTTGTAAATATGTCATATCAAATTCATAAATATTTAAAAATAATACTTAATTTCTAGTGATATAAGTAATTTTTTTCGAAATACAGAAATGCATGTTAATGGAAAGGAGTATGAAATTGACCACATTCAAAGAAAGAGAATACAAAAGACTGGCTTTTAAGATCCTTTCCAAACTATGTTTTTTGTTTTGTTTTTGTTCGTTTGTTTTGTTTCCTTTACTATAGGATTATTGCTATGTGTGGTGATTACTACATTGGTGGAAGGCGTTTTTCTTCACTCTCAGACTTAATAGGTTATTACAGTCACGTGTCTTGTTTACTTAAAGGAGAAAAATTACTCTATCCAGTTGCACCACCAGAGGTAAGTAAAACTTGAATTGATATATCACAACTTTTATTTTACAAAATCAGGTGGATTTTAATCTTATCAAATTTCTTACATCTATTATAGTTCAAAAATATTTGTTTTAATTCTAGTTATGCTAGAACAAAAATGATAGTTTCCTTCATAACTAATTTTTGTATTTAAGTAATATTATTAAAGATAATTTTATGTGATAATAGCATATAATAATTGCTAGTGAAGTTAAAATGTCTTAAATCATAAAATGTAGATTAATTTTTGTGTTCTGTGTAGTTTATTTAAGGATTGTTTAGATTACCTGAAGAAAATATGTTATACTTGTGTAGTAATTTTTGTAAAAATATCAAGCCAGACCAGTAAACATTTTTAGGTTTTGTGTAGATGCTCAGTAAAGATTACAGTGACCCTATGGAGTTTATAATATGCAGTTGTATTGACTTTAAGCTTTGTATGAATTAATCTTTTTTGACTTGGATAGAGAGACAATCTTCTTTTGTGTGCATGAGTGTATGTACATGTGTGTAGCTGTGTATACAGACTTGCATGTGTGTCAAGGAAGGGATGCATGTGTGCATTTATTACTGGTGGCTAGAAGTTGACAACAAATATTGCTCTTGATTGCGCTCTACTTGATTACTTGAAGCAAAGTCCCTGGATGAAACTAGAGCTTTTTAATATGGTTAGTTCGTCTTGATAGTTTGCCTCAGATACCCCTGTTCCTTCCTCCTAAATGCTGGCATTACAGGCAGCTCCTATATTTGTCACAACTTTTACATGGGTTCTGTGAATCCAGTTTGGGTTTTCAGGCTAGTGGGACAGGAGATTTAGCTATGGAGACATGAAGCCTCTCCCCAGTTCCTAACTATGATTACTTTTAATGGTTTCAGCCAGTAGAAGATAGAAGGCGTGTACGAGCCATTCTACCCTACACAAAAGTACCAGACACCGATGAAATAAGGTATTTTATACTGTTTCTTATGTATTCACATTTGAAAGAGCTAGACAGTGAAGATTCATTGCTCTTAAACTAGGAAAGGTTTAGAATTTGAGGGAATATTATAGGTATATAAAGTTGATTTTAATACTCGATCTGTTGTGTTCCTGTGGGATGGCTTATCTAGTCCCAAGGTTTGAATCAGTGTGGTCACAGTGAAAATTACAAGAGAAAAAAATAGATTAAAAAAACATTTTTTGAGAAAGTAGAGATTTCTTTCATAATTTGTGTTTCCATTATCAATCATCATCACCTATATCACCTATCAATCATCCATGTATCCATCCATTTATCTACCTATCTAATCTACCTACGTTCGTTCTGTCTGTCTGTCTGTCTGTCTGTCTGCTTGTCTACCTATCTTATGGTTTTTATTCCCCATTACATTTATGCCTCAGGTATAAATCATGCTGAAATAATTTTCTTAATTTTGCATAATGAGTGAATAATTTTAAATTTCAAGAATATTGTATAACCATGGAACATAATTTTTGTATGTAATTTGACAGTAAGTTATTTATAAAACTTGATAATCTAATTTCTCTTTTAAAAAAGCTATTTGATCATTCAATAGAACCCTTGTTTCTTAACTATAAAATGTTTGGCTGTTTCTGAATATTTATTGATTATATAGTTTCTCTTTGAAATAATTGCAAATTATAATACTAAAACAGTTTTGTGGACTAAAAGCTTTGTAAATTAGTATTAGAAAACAAAGATACAGTTCAAATTTCAAGTAAGTAATTCAAGTAATTTCAGTTCAAATGAATTTACAGTTCATTTTTATATAATTATTGTCAAGCTAATGCCTTCTCACTTAATTCTTATTGACACAGTTTTATTTGTAAATTAATGTGGGAAAATGAATAAAATCAACAAAAAGTAAGAAAGTTATATGAAAGAGGTTAGTAGTATTAAAGTGTAAGTTTTAGATAATTTGTCTGATCACCCACGGCAGCAGTCTCAAAGTTGATTTCATCCAATTGTTGATCTGAGAATCATTTAGATAGTCCATATATTATCTAAGTTTCTCTAGAGAAGGTTTAAGAATTGGGACAGATTCAGGAGACTCATTTCTGTAATTTCTTAAGTACGGAGGCCTGTGGAGACCATGGAAGTTAAGAGTACATCCCAATCTGAGGACAGAAGATAAGAGTCAGCTCAGGATACAGTGAGGCCAGGAGGATAAGGAGAGGGAACACTGGTCTTACTTTTTATTCTGTTCAGACAGTTAGTGGACTGGATGATAACTACTCTATGGAGGAAACCAAGCTACGCTGGCATAATGTATGAATTCAAATGCTGACTCATGTAGAAGAGCCCAGAAGTCATGTTTTATACAGAAACCTTGACATCCTGTTAGCTTGACACATAAAATTAATCACCAGAGTCCTTGAGATTGAAATTGTTTTTCATTGTGACTTCACAATAGTAACACTAAAGTCTTAGATATTAAAAACTTCAGGTGCTTTAACGTCCACAGCAATAACACTAAAGTGTTGAATATTCTGGGTAAATGAAAATAGCTTCATTTGACATCTGAATAAGCAAGCAAAACATGTTGTGTTCTTATCTTTGACTGCATGTCTAGAACTTCTTGTAGTAAACAAGATCAAACACTTCCATATAGGTATAATGGTATGTGGTTGTTATCTTAGTAGCTGAGAAAGTGGTTCTAGAAAGATTTATTTGGTTAAATGATAAAATCTGCTTCCATTTACCTAGGCAGATCTTGGGTATTATTAAGGAGGACTTTAGAATTGGGATGACATTAATCTGTGGCTTTTTAAATACAGAGTGTTTTATAAAAGTTTTCCTTTGTATAAGCTTTGTTTTCTGAAATTTGAGAAAAATAAAGGTAGACTAATTTAGACAAAAACCAAAGCATTCAAATGTGTGAGAGAAGGATTTATTTAATAGAACTAAAGTTTATAAGTATTGAGACCATACCAGAAAAATATTGGAAAACATGAAAATATATATCATGGTCAGTGGCAGCATCCAACCAGAAGAATTTAGAGTCATTCTTTTAAGCCTGAAAGAAAAACTGCAAGGAATTCTTGATGATTTTACACACAACTGAAGTCCCCTTGATGGTGTAGAGCTTGAAAACATCCAGACAGTAAAGAGGAAAACTTAAGTTGTGTATGTCCTTCTACTTTGAACTATATAGCAGGAAAAAAAGCATAAATGCCTTCTAACACATGTGTGGGTGCTATTTTTAGGCAAAGAATGCTGTACTCATTGAACAATAGGCATTTGAAGGAAATAAATAAGATATGATTATAAATGCTAATAATATTAATAGCTACATAATAAAATCAAGTGTGATTATCTAAAGTAAACTTCTTGAATTTACTTTATCTCTCTGTCTCTTTATTTTGTTATTTATTTACATTTCAAATGTTGTCCTCCCCCCCGCCCCACAAACTCCCTATCCTGTCACCTCTCCTCCCTGCTTCTATGAGGGAGCTCACCCACCCAGCCACCCACTCCCGCCTCACCTCCCTAGCATTCCCCTACGCTGGGGTATCAAGCCTCCATAGGACCAAGGGCCTCCCCTCTCACTGATGTCAGATAAGGCCATCCTCTGCTACATATGCAGCTGGAGCCATAGGTTCCTCCATGTATACTCTTTGGTTGGTGGTTTAGTCCCTGAGTGGTCTGGGGGGTTCCAGGTAGTTGATATAGTTGTTCTTCCATAGGGTTACAATTCTCTTCAGTTCCTTCAGTCCTTTTTCTAACTTCCATTGGGGTCCCTGGGCTCAGTCCAGTGGTTGGCTGCAAGCATCAGCATCTGTATTGGTCAGGCCCTGGCAGAGCCTCTCAGCTATACCAGGCTCCTGTCAGCAAACGCTTCATGGCATCAGCAATAGTATCTGGGTTTGGTGTCTGCAGATGGGATGGATCCAGAGGTGGGGCAGTCTCTAGATGGCTTTTCCATCAGTCTCTGCTCCACTCTTTGTCCCTGTATTTTCTTTGGACAGGAGCAATTCTGTCTTAATATTCTTGAGATGGGTGGGTGGCCCCATCCCTCAACTGGGGGCCATGCCTAACCTCTGGATATGGTCTCTACAGGTTCTCTCCACTTTATTGGGTATTTCGTCTAATGTCATCCCTGTTGGGTCCTGGGAGCCTCTTGCTTTCCTGACATCTGGGACTTGGCTAGTGGCTACCCCTAGTTCCCCACACCCCACTGTTACACACCTCCATTCAATTCTGACCCTTTGCATTTCTCCCTGTCTCCTCCCACCCCTAATCTTGCCTGCCTTTTTCCTCCTCTCTCCCAGGTTTCTCCCTTCCTCTAGCACTCATGATTATTTTGTTCCCCCTTCTAAGTAGGATATATTTTTATATCTATATCTATATATCTTAACTCTATATTGATATTTTATTACATTTGTCATACATATAAAAACATTGAAACTCGGAAACTTTAAAACTCAGTTTTCTTGGAACTACTTATAATACATATGTAATTGTTTACTATTTAAAGGAATTTTAATTTGAGTCTAATATAGCAAAGTAGATAGTAGATAGAGGAATTCTAATTTGAATCTAATCCAGCAAAGCAGACTCCCTTACAAAACCTATAATTAAATTGTACATTCAATCAAATTAGGATTCAGATTATTAACTGTATTCAGTTTCACAAAAAAAGGACTACTTAAATGTACATTCTTAAGATATTAATGTCATTTTCTATTTTAGTTTCTTAAAAGGAGATATGTTCATTGTTCACAATGAGTTAGAAGATGGATGGATGTGGGTTACGAATCTAAGAACAGATGAGCAAGGCCTTATTGTTGAAGATCTCGTGGAAGAGGTGGTAAGTTTCATTTGTTCTTCTAAATTTCAGATTCTAAGTTCTTTTTTGTTTGTTTGTTTTGTTTTGCTTTTTGTTTTTTTTGTTTTTCGAGACAGGGTTTCTCTGTGTAGCCCTGGCTGTCCTGGAACTCACTCTGTAGACCAGGCTGGCCTCGAACTCAGAAATCTGCCTGCCTCTGCCTCCCAAGTGCTGGGATTAAAGGCGTGCGCCGCCACCGCCCGGCCCTAAGTTCTTTATAAAAGTTTAGAAGTCTGTTTTCTGGGTCATTAGACAGAAACAAATTACTTGTATGAAATGCTTAAATTCACAAATGCAAAGAAATTTTAAGATGTATTTGGTGTTAATAAATGATAATTTATAAAGAAATAAAAAGTATGTTAGTATGCTGTAATATATATCTGCCTTTGAAGAAAGTACTTCTGTATTTCTGAACTACACTATCACTTGTACTTATTTTGATAATTTTTTGTGCTTTCCTTCATTAGGTATATTTGACTCAGAATTTTAAGTAGTTATATGTTTGGTATAACTTCTCAAGTATTATATAATTCTAGTAATCTTACAAAATTTTAATTACATTACTCATCTATAACCCCAAAGTTCTACAATTTGAATATTCTCCTTATTTTCTTTGCTATCTTATTATACATTATTATTTATCTTAGTACATAATGTAAATCACCAATATATTTTTAGGTGCAAATTAGCACTCAGGCAGTGTTCATGCTTTACAGACAATATTCAACACCACCAAAATGTATTAAACATTATAATTTTGGAATTTACATTTCCCTTTTAGATATGTGTGGTAGGATAGAATGGCTTTCTGTGATTTTTTTGTTTTTATGGAACCCCAGAACTGTGCCCTGTGTGGAAGTTTGTAATTTGTTTTGCTCCTGATTGTTTTATTTGCTTATTCTGGCACCTAGATCTTGATTGACATGCATTAAAACATACTTAGCAAAGTTGGAAGGAGTTATGGAAATTATATGTGATATATTTTGTATTCATAGTCACAAACATGCTGCTAGATCTAGGATTATAACTTCCAATTCTTTAAATAGCATTCAGAATTCTACACTGGAAGAGGAATACAGACAGGAACATTCAGACTCAAGAATTTTATTGTCTATGTTAGTTTTCCTATAAATTTTTAGATTTTGTTTGTTAGACTTCCTTTTACCTATTATTCATTTGAATTTGAATTCATTGAATGTTTGATTTTAGTTTGACTAAATACTTAATGAGGACCTAATTAAGAAAAATTTTTGTATAGTTAATATATTTGCTTTTTTTTCATTATCTATTCATTGAAAACTCAGTATAAACTGTTAGGATTCGAATTTAACATATACTCAGTGAAAACTATGAATTTATACTGGGTTTGGGGTAGTGATGATGTTAATAAAAAATGGCTTAGATTTTTAAGATGGTTATTTATTGTGGGATGAGTAATATTAATGTTAGAATAGCTTTAAAACCTGGAGTACAGCTGGGCATGGTGGCATACACCTTTAATCCCAGCACTGGGGAGGCAGAGGCAGGTGAATCTCTGTAAGTTGAAGTCAGCCAGATCTACAGAGTGAGTTCCAGGGTAGACAGGTACATAGGGAGACTTGGTCTCAAAAACAAAACAAAACAAAACAAAACAAAACAAAACAAAACAAAACAGAATAAAAACAACAAACAAAACAACAAACAAAACAACAAACCCTGGAGTACAGACTAGATAAGGTTAAGTTTAAAATATGGCAAAAAAAAAAAAAAAAAAAAAAAAGAGTAATCGTGTTGTATTCTACAGAAAAGGAAGTGCCCACTTTTTAGGGTCAAAATGTTTCACTGTGAGGAGGTAGCATTTTAGGTAGTTTACCTCAATAGTTTGCTTTTTTAAAATAGGTGGGTAGCAATGAGGTGAAAGGACATCTTGATAGCAACAATCACAACAGAAGGTTAACTAGAGTAGGAAGGAGTGTGAGGTTGATTAGCAAATGAGTAGTTAGGTGTGACACCTAGAGAGTGAGTGGGATGAGGCAGGAAATGCATACTTGAGCGTTTGAGGCCTGTGGTTAAGGGCATTGGCTGTAAAAAGAGAAATTTGTAGGCAAAGGAGAGGGTAATAAAGGGTTGGCTTCAAAATTCTGTGTTCATTTGATTAATTTCCTCTTAAGTTCACATCTACAATGAAAACTACTGAATTGAGAGAGGTTGGAGTAGGGGAGAGCAGTAATTATCCTGTAGTTAGGCTACTTTACTAGTTTATAAAGAGAAGGCAGGGTCTGATTTAAACTAGTAACATGGGGAGGTGAGAAAAGAAGAGATTTATAGCCTGCAATTCTTGAATAGAAACATATTCTCATATACATGTACTATGAAAAAGATGGAGAAAGATTTGAAAATATGATTCTTTGGAATTTTCATGAAATTATTATTGGGATTTAAATTTATAAAATGCTGCCTTAATGTCTTTCCTTTAGGGCCGGGAAGAAGATCCACACGAAGGCAAAATGTGAGTTTTTATTAATTATAAAAAGGAAAAAATAATATAAACTTATAAATTAGAAAAATAGTCAACAAACTTAATGACTTTTAGATTTACTTTTAAAAAAAATTTGGTTCAGATAACTGATATATAAATACTTCTTGAGGCTCTAGTACTAAATTTTTTTTAGTAAGAATTTTAAGCAAACATTGGCCTATACTTATATACAAATCTCATATCACCAAACGAAAAGACTTTATGGTAAATGTTATGTTTGAATCATAATGATCTCATATTTCTCTTCATTTCTTACTGATTATAATATTTCTTTTTTTGTGGTCACATCATTAATAAACTTTTAAATTCAGTTTTTACCATGAATATGTGAGATAAGTCAAAATTTTTGTATAAGCAAGCAAGGTCCTTTTAAATAATCTTTTTATGTGTATGAGATTCCTTTTAAAATCTTAAGCCTTTAATCCTGTTCTGTTTATATTATTTCAGTAGAATATATACCTGTTATTTTTTCAGTTCATTTTTCCCCTAACCAAGCTGTCAGCATTTATAAATTTAAAGCTTGCCTGAGTATTCTATATTCAGTTCTCTTAGTTTCCTGTCTTAATAGAATATGTTATATCTTTTTTAAAAAAACATTTTTTGATTTTTTTTGTTTTGTTTTGTTATTGTTTTTTGTTTTTTAATTTTTGAGACAGGGTTTCTCTGTATAGCCCTGGCTGTCTTGGAATTCACTCTGTAGACCAGGCTGGCCTCGAACTCAGAGATCTGCCTGCCTCTGCCTCCCAAGTGCTGGGATTAAAGGTGTGCACCACCACTTTCCGGCTTATATGTTATATCTTAAGAGTATATTTTTATGTTACTTCATACAGATACAAGTGAGTTCATACTCTAACAGTACCTAGTTGGTTCTGCTTGAAGTCTTCTATCAGCAATTTCACGTGCTAGTTAATGCTTGAAGAACATCAGATTCATAACAAAAACAGATTGTATCACATATATATATATATATACATATATATATACATATATATATATATATATATATATGTATTTTATATATTTTTCCAAACACAATATATTTTATACACACACACACACACACACACAATGAATCTGAATTCAGTATTATGAAATCCTTCAGATTTTCAAGAGAAAGTGTATATATTCCATTGTATCTGTTTTAATAGTACAGATTTAAGATACCAATAAATATTTAAACTACGTTCATTTTCAATGACCAATGTAAGATTTCACTGGGAAGTCATATTAATACATGTTAGTCTTTTGTTTTTCTGAACTTTGTATTTATGTGGTATTTAGCATAAGTTAAATTTGTGTTGATTTATTTTATGTACCTGCCTAGTGTCTTAAGTATTTAAAGTAGAAACTGTGGTAGTTCTATATTATATAACTCCTTGTCAGAGATCACAGGGATTAAAAATAATTTATTTCCCTCTTGTCAGAAGACAGTAGCCTGAGTAGTAGCAAATGGTAATTGACATTCATTGCTTAATATTACAGATTTTGAGAAGTAAAAAACTAGAAAGTTTTTGTGTGCCTTAAGGTGACTTCTCTGTTTAGTAAACGTGTGATAGAATGTGAATTTATGGGACAGGTGAAATAGCTAAGCAGGTAGAAACATTTACTACCAGATCTGATGACCTAAATTTAATCCACAGGACCCAACAAGTTATCCTCTGACCTCCATGTGCATATCATAATGTCTCCCCTCTCTCTCCCCCCCCCCCCCCCCCTCCCTCCCTCTCTCTCCCTCTCTCTCTCCCTCCCTCCCTCCACCCCCCCCATTCACACACACAGACTAAATGAATGTGAAGTCAGTATTTTGAAATTCAGATTTTCAAGAGAAAGTGTATATTCCCTTGTATCTGTTTTAATAGTACAGACTTAAGATGCCTAGTCTCTTAAGTATTTAAAGTAGAAACTATCGCAATGAAGTATCCTAATTCTCTAAGTGTCCTTAGCCACAGTGGATCCCTTTGTGATTAAATAGCTGCCTTGACAGTTTCTCTGACCTCCATTTCTGTGTGAGCATTAAGTTCTAGTAAATCTTTTCTTCTAAAATATTTATTGAATGTGTCCCTTCTTTTCAGTCTTAAATAATTTGATTATAGTCATTCTTCTTAGTGTCTGATACAACAGTTACCTTCTGCTGGGCCCTCCAAGTCGTTAATCTCCTCACACTCTCTGTTCCAAAACTTAGAATGGTTTGTCTAACATACCTATCAGAAAGTACCACTTTCTCAACTAAAATCCCCAACTGATTCTTTACCAACTTTTATTTGGGTGATCTGTGATGTACATGGTTCTTGTGACTTTTATTGTCTTATCATTTCACTCTTCTCTTTGTAAGCCTTTCAAATGCATAACTTTTTTTTTAAATGATTTTATTAACCTGTTTCCCAGACTGGGATTACCCTAAGTTGTTTATGTATTTATTTATGTAATTTAGTAAACTTCAAGTTCTGTGAATGTCTATGTTATTTAACCTTACATATGCTGAAGACTTGGTACATTTCTCCATTATTCCCCAAATGCCCTAACACATACCCATCACTGTACTTACTGTATTTTTACATGGTTTTTAGTTGTTCACTTTGTGTTGTTTGTTTTTTGTTTTGTTTTTCCTCTAACCAGAATCTGGACTTCTCAAGAGAAAGTACTTACTCTGTTACCTTGAGTACAAACCATGTAATTAAATTATATACATTTTATATAAGAATAACTCTGGGAAATAATATTACCCCTTTGCCTCAAGGCTATTTTCTTAATGCTCAGAATTTCTTAATGTAAAAAAATAGTATTCACCTTTGTTTCTTTTTTAAACTGTACTCTTTGAGTTTTTTATTTTTACTTGGTAGAAAACTGTAGGATTTTAGTCTTGCCATCTAGCTAAGTATTCTACAATGTGGAAATCCACTCTAAAATGTGTAGTAAATGGTAATGTAACTTCCTTGAATATAGTATGTAGCCCCATACATTTTAAAGCGTTCTGGAGTGTATACTTCATTTGCTCTTCATTATTCACATCTATTCTGAGAATATCAGGAAATCTGAGTTAGTATATTAACGATTACTTTTTCATATACTTGAAAATTAAGTTGTATTTTAACTTTCCCTAGTAATAGAGTGGCTAATTTGAAGCAGAATGAATGACCTCTAAGCCTGTAGTATTGTCTCTTAGAGTACTTAGGCTTTTAGTCTTGTAGTGTATGTACTTTACAGCTGGCAGTTAACTCATTGCTACAAATTACTGTAGACCTTGAGAAGACAGAACAGTGGTAGAGAAGTGTTCTGAGATTACCCGCAAGAGACACCGAGATTTAATGTAAATAAGAGGAAAACTGTTGGACCTTGGCTTTTAGTTTTTGAGACAATATCTCACTGTATGGTCCTGACTGCCCTGGATCTGATTGGTTGGCCTCAGAGCACTGTGATATGCCTGCTTTTCTGCCTTACAGGTTCTGAACCTTAACTTACCTGATCCTTAAGTATTTTTTTAACATGTTATTTTATGAAAAGGTAAATATTAGATACTTTGAATTTCATCATGCTATATTTCCAGTTATTTATAATAATTTCTAAATGCAGATTATGAAATACTTTACCAGTCCAGTTTGATAGACTATTAGCTCAGAATTAAAAATAGTTCTTTCCTTTGCTATGTACTTGCTCTTGTATTTACATTTTAATTTTACTGGGCGAGATCTTATGTTAAATGAAAATTATTTTTGAAGGAAACATGAGAAAACACTTGGCGGGTTTTGCCTTGTATAATTTTCTCTATCCCATTCTCCCAAGCCATTCAAGGAAAACTGGAGCTATGATACAGCATGTAACAGTTACTACTAGAAATAAAACCATTACTCTTAATAATACTGTAATTAAAATGGAAATTGTAGTGTATACTTGACAGTTCCTCTGTTTCTGTACTTTGTTTAAATAAGGCACAGTAAGTTTGCAAAACACAATAGAAATGTAACAAATGAAACTATGGTCACTTCCATTACATTTGTTTTATCAGCTTGGTTACCTTTGAATATATGAAAGCTGCAGCATATGTGAACTTTTAATTTAAATGTCTAATTTGTTCTCCTTTTAAGATGGTTCCATGGGAAGATTTCCAAACAAGAAGCTTATAATTTATTAATGACAGGTACCTTTGTATTCTTTAATATCTTTATTAAGTATAAAATTGAAACAACTATTTCACATGTACTATAGTTTTCTTTAGCATTTGATAATACATGCGTATTGTTAGTTCTTTCCAATGCTAGGCAATGGGAGTTGGTATTTTTCTGTATTTGTTTTTAGTTGAAATGTACATGTACTCTATAAGCTCTTGTGGAGTATATTTTTCTTTTTTTCTATCCTCTGTCCATGTTTCCTTCCCCATATTTTACACCTAACAATCTTGTGATATACTTTTTTATGTGTAGTAGGTCTGTCCTACATATAATACACTTAGAAGAACATATAACACACTTTTTAATGTTTAGACAGGGTTTCTCTGTTTAACAACCCTGGCTGTCCTGGAGCTTGCTTTATATACCAGGCTGGTTTTGAACTCAGAGATCTACTTGCCTCTGCTTCCAAGTGTTGGATTAAAGGCATGTGTCAGTATACATTCTTGTATGCTTGGTGGAATTACATAATTGAAGCTTATTTGAAATTTAATTTTCAATTACTATGATTGTTACAAGGAAATGTAAATTAAATTTACTTATGTGTTCATAATTTAAAGCAGGGGTTCTCAACCTGTGAGTTTTGACCCCTTTGGCAAACCTTAATATCAAAAAATATTTACATTACAATTCACATCAATAGCAAAATTATAATTATGAAGCAACAAAAATAATTTTCTGGTTGCAGGTCATTACAGCACGACAACGGTATTAAAGGGCCCCAGCATTAGGAAGGTTGAGAACCCCTGATTAACAGTTAGTCATGTTATCTCTCTCTTTAATTGCAGTAAATAAACTACTAATTGTTAAATGTGTGATCTCTGTTGTTTAAAGATATAAGGCATTACATTTTAAATCAATAATTTGCTCTCATAGGGTTTGAGGTAGTTTTTTAAGTGCTTAATGGGTTTAATAACTGGCATTAACTAGATCCAGAATATAATTTAAAACATGACAATGTTATATGGTAGAAATAGAAATCAAATTTAAACCAGAGTAGTATGCCATCAGCTTTCAAGTTGGAACGAGAAATTTTATTTTAGTCAATAGTTAGGTTAGGCTTATATTTAGATACTGAATCACCAAGTATTTGAAGTACCCAGTATTGTTTTAGGTGTGTAAACATTAAAATAGCCTAAACAAAATTTCTCACATTAGAGTTTATTTTTGTTCATTCATAAACTCTTTTTGAAAGAGTGAAAATGTTACCCCCAGAATTACACAAATATATTCATTTACAAGTTTATAGAAGAAACATAGGGTATCAATATTATCACCAAGAGTTTTTTTTTTTAAATCCTATACTAAATCACATAGTTGGCAGTTTTTAATTTACTTAGCTGAACCATGAACCCAATATAAAAAGGTTTATTTTTTACTTCTTTGTATTGAGTACTAAGTTACCTGATAGCAAGAGCCTCAGCTAGATGACTGGAACTATTACTGATTTCAGTAAGAATTACAGGTGATAACTGTATAGGCTTTCTTAAAAGAGTCAGTTCATGATCTTTCTGTTACCAGTACTTAATCACAAAGGAAAGATTATAGTTTTAGGAGTCCTTGTCAATTGTAGATAGTCCTTTCTGTATACCTTCTCAGAATCATACCTAGTGAGTCAAGTATCAGGTGTGTGTATTGACTTACGCTAATATAGACAGGTACTTAAGTTATTTGCCTTTGTAAGTTCTTTACAGTATTGCTTTTTAATTATTAATTGGAAATCTAGAGAAATTAGGCAAAATTAGTTTACCTTTGCAAGATCTTTAGGAGATTAACACATGAAGCCACAGATTTGGTTCCCATTACTGTCAGGAGAGTTCTTTCTGAAGGGTATACTCTAGAAGTTACTGTACAGAATTTCTGTTCCATATGCTTAGGAAGCAAAAGTAGTTGCGTTACACCAGGAACAACATGGGTGGTTGGAAACATAAAATGAATATTAAATGTTTATGATAAAATTTTATGTGATTATGCTTCCTAATTACTTAACATACTTTCTCTTTGATTTGATAATTAGAGTATAAAACTAACAGCTTAATTTTTACAGTTGGCCAGGTCTGCAGTTTTCTTGTGAGGCCATCAGATAATACTCCTGGAGATTACTCCCTGTATTTTCGGACCAATGAAAATATTCAGCGGTTTAAAATTTGTCCAACCCCTAACAACCAGTTTATGATGGGAGGCCGCTATTATAACAGGTAAATTATGAGACATTTTGTGGTAAAAATAGTTGGAATCAAAACATACAGATTTCCTCAATTTCTAATATAATTGAAGTAGTCTTTTATGAGAATGCTTTAAACAGTGTCAAACATGATTGTTAATAACTTTTCAATTCCCAAATGTCATGTTTAATAAAATGTTTATGTACGAGCTATTTGTATGTAATTTCCTAGGAGTCATCTGATTTTTTATAAATGTCATGTTACTGGGTTATTCTCTCAAGTTGATACATTTTGGGTGTCTGATTTGTTTCTGCTTCTCAACTCCTTTCAAAACTCACAATGAGTTTCATTGCTTGCTTAGGAAAATGATTCTATTAATATAGTGACATGTAATAAAGGGCTGGCAGTGTTGTTCTGGAAAGGAGAAAGCTGGGTGAAGCATTTGCCCACTTTGATGGTGTTATTTCTTCTTTTGGAAGCTGGCTGGTATGGTCTGCTTTAAGAATATATTTACCTGTTTAACTTCTTACTTAATACTGTCATAATATTCCCCACCTCAATTAGAATTCCCCAAGTCCCAGTTTGAGTTTTAAATTCATAAAGTTTCAATAGCTGATTATCTGGAAAACAACAATTCATCTTTTGCTCATCAGAAGTTCAGTGGACAGTTTAGAAAAGCATTAGATGAAAGGTGTAATTATAGACATTTGCATATCTCATTGTATTAAGCTATCTAAGTACCTTTAATGTTATAATCTAGGCTTACACATCTTCACCTAGATTCCAGCTTGCTAGCATATGTTAGTATTCTGTTTTTCCCTTAGACTTTTTGCTTTGTTTCATGAAGCAACTTGAGCTACAGCTTTGACACAGCTTGGGAAAAGGAGAGGCATTTAGCACCAAATTGAATTCAGCAGACATTTATTGACTGATTATTTAGTGAAATTTACTGTGCTATGTACAAATTAAAGAAGAAAAAAACCATTTCTATATTATTAGTCCTCTGAATTGTTAGAAAGATGTTCAAGTTGTGATGAATTGAAGGGAAATACAAACAAGTATGGGAGCCACCAAAACGAGTACAGTTTAGGTAATGATAAAGGGTGGAGTGAGGTTTAGTAACACATTGAAGAGGAACGTCTGTTTAGGAAGATGGGTGCATAGTTTCATGTAATATGTACTAAATTAAAGTACATGGGATGGTGGCTTTAGAAATGTCTTGTTTTATAAAGTCCTCCCCCGCTCCATGGCTACAGTAACTGAAGAAAGTATCTTTCTTTTCTGTAGCATCTATTAATTGCCTGCAGATCCTCAGGGAGAGATAGCTCCTCAGGAGCCCTTTGCTTTTCCATGGCAGCATGTTTCGAGATTGAATCTTGCACAGTGGTGTGCAGGTAATACTTGAGGGTTCATGAATACAAGGCCATTCATGCCATAACTGGAAGACACAGCCTACAGCACTGGATCCTTTCATTCAGCTCTTACAGTCACTCTGCCCCTTTCACAGTGTTCCCTGAATTCTGGAGGGGAAGATAAGATACCAAGTTTTAGCTACGGATTCAACAGACACTTGTGTTGTGAGTTTCAGCAGTAACTATGGTGCACTGTGAAAAAAGAAGCTTTGTTGGCCAAAGCTGATAGCAGCACTAATCTCTGGGAATGAACAGAATTATTTAGAAGCAAGTTTGCTTTGTTTCTGAGACAGGGTCTCATTATGTAGCCCAGACTGTCCTGGTAATGTACAGACTTGGCTCACCTTGTTTGAACTCACAATAATTCACCTGCCTCTGCATTCCAAGTGTTGATTTAAAGGAGTATGTTACTATGCTTGACAAGGAGGAAATCTGGATGTACATCATATGCAGTCCACAAAACAGCAGCTATAGCTTCTTCCCTGCTAGAGTCTATCACTGCTGCAGCCACAGACTTGGTCAGGTTTACAATACCACCTGTTAGTTTCCTCCTGCGAACCAGGCCTCAGGTCCTTCAGAAAATGGTTGGCTACCCCTATGATAGTCATATGCCAGTGTACACATCTTGCCTGGTAGGTTTGGGAGTATAGCACAGTGGGTCCACAACTGAAACTTGGTGACAGTTCTCCCCAGCTACTTGCATAGCAATTTCCAGAACTGTGAGAGCCACACTGAAGAGAAGCTTTTAGCGAGCGTTGTTCCCACTTTATTTCTCAGTATTCCAGGTGTGGTGGTTTCAGAATACCATGTATTTCTCATGATCAATAATAATAAATGTGATTGCTTAGATTGTTTTGGAGGCTTTAAAAGAAGCCTATCCCTGGCACTGTAATTTTCTTGGGATAATCTGTGACTTTGGAAAGCAGCTTTATCCACCCACACAGGGTGCTTCCATTCAAGCTCTTTACATTTTAATTTTAAATTTTCTTAATGAGAATCATGTATATATTTAACACATATTAATTATACAGTTTTTTGGGTTTCACTGTTACATTCCCATGCCTGCATTTACCATGATAATGCCTACCGTCTCATGCATACAAAAGGCTTTGGCCTTTGTTAATTTTTATAAATAAACGATACGTTTTACTTCACAGTCATTCTTGTGGTGGGTGGTATCTAGCTGCTTTCAGTTTTTCCTGATTTTCATTTTTCTTTCAATAGTTTTAGGTTTACCCTGTTTTCAAATTTTATTTCCCATATTCTCTTAAAATATATCTTGCCTGTATGTGTTGAGTTTTTACAATTTTTATATTTTACTTTTGATTTATATTTAATTTAAATTAATTTTGTAATCTAGGAGAGATACTTGGAACTGTAGACACACACATATACACACACAGTATTGCAGTTATTCTGTCACTGAAGAACCATGGAAAGAATAAATCAAGGGGCAGGTTAACAAAATCTTTATGGAGATCTATTTCTTGAGTAGCTTAAAAATACTCATCCATTTAGTATATACAATAAAATTTTAAATTCCAGAAATTAAATATTAGAAATTAATGGGATCTATTGATTACAGAACATACTTTTATTTATTACAAAAAAAAATCTGGTGGCATCCTAAACTTTATGTTATATTATGTCATTTTACTTTCGGTTTCATGAGTAATATTTTCCAAATATATGGAAACATTGATGGTATGTTTTAATCAAAGTCATCTAACCCCCTCCCTGCCATAGGGACAGCTGTACAGGGGGAGTTAACTATTATTTTCTGTTTATTCTTTGACTTCTATTTTCACTTAACTAGTCATATATTATGACATAATAAAATTTTATAATATATAAATTTATATTGAAATATGAAATATATAAGTGAAATGATTTAGTGTAAAAAAATTCTTAATTTATCATTTGCTAAATAAACACCATTTCTGTTCTTTCATGTCTGAAGGATTCGTTTTTTAATAAAATAACACCTTCCACCCCCTTCCCAAAAAAAGTTTGTACTCATTTTCTCATTGAAGGTTACTTTCTCAGTATGGAGCTCCATTCATGGCTGCATGTTTGATATGTGAACCAAAATCTTTTAACTTACTTATTTGTAAACCTGTATTTGGAACATTCATGTTTTTCTAAAATAATGTGATTATTATGTTAACTCATTCTATGAATATATTCAGATTATATGCATTCAGAAACTAATGAATGGATAATCCTTGGCAACAAGGTTTACGTGTATTCTAAGAGATTTACACAGTTAATTATTTTATTTTAACAGTATCGGGGACATCATAGACCACTATCGGAAAGAACAGATTGTTGAAGGCTATTATCTTAAGGAACCTGTACCAATGCAGGTCAGCATTATTATTTTGCTTACTATAATTAGCATATTGTTTTCAAATAATTTTTGTGATGGTTATATAAGCATTCTTGTAAAACTAGATAAAATTTAAAACTACTGATTGCTTAGATTCCTTTAGAAAAGGAATTGTAGGAGAATTTCTTACTTTTCAATTCTGTTACTTTAGATAATTACTCAGTAGATAATTAGTAAGTCCTTGGAATAACCAAAGAAACTTTAAATTGGTACTCTTTGTTTCAAAAGTGATTATTATTAAAATAAATGTATTTCTACACATGCAATTAAATGTTAGTAATAATATAATGTTAGTCCTGGAGTGAACGTGAAGAGTCATAACATATTGACCTGCTTTTTAACTGGCAGTCCATTCGAAAATACAAATACTCTTTTTCTAATGAACAATCTCTCCTCTATGTATCCTAAGTACCAAGACATTAGCTAAAATAGAAACAAGCCAGTCCTAGAGTTAGTACTTCATGGAAAAGGCACTAGAGGAAAAGCAGCTGATGAGGTGGCTCAGTGGGGAAGGTACTGTGTTTCAGCCTGACTACCTGAATTTAGTCCCAGGCACTCACTCAATGGAAGGAAAGAACTGACTCCAAGTTATCCTTTTGGCTTCCACATGTGTACTGTGTCATGTGAGTAGCCTCTTGCTCTTAAACAGAAAAATAAAAACATTAAAAAAAATTCAAAATTATAAAGACACTTCATTTTAGGTATTTTCCTATACATATAGTAATTATTCCAACAACTTGGTCAAGTTAATGCTATAATCATGCCTATTTTACAAATAACAAAAAAACTTAAACTAGAAAGGCTAAGTATATTTTCAAATCACTGAGTCATCCTTGGTTCTTTCCCCCTCCTTACTGTGGTGGGAACATTCACTATCTATTGAGAACATCCTTCTTGCTGACTTCAAAATATGTTCAGAACCCAAACACCATAAAAAATGCTGATTCATTTCTTTGTGCTTTTGTCCTTTATAGCTCATAAGAGTTAGACATTTAAAATGTGAGTTGGATCCAAGATGTTCAATATTTCAGAATAAAAGATAAAATACCTCTGGTGGCAGACAGGAAAGTATAACTGGAATTTCAGTGTACCCATATACCTATTTCTACTGTCTTCATCTCATCTGTTTCCTGAATTCATATTTTAGCTTTGTTTGAGATTTGTTTTGTTTGTTGAGACAGGGTTTCTCCATGTATCCTTGACTGTTCTGGAAACTTGCTCTGTAGAACAGGCCGGCTTTGAGCTCACAGAGATTCTCCTGCTTCTGTAGGAGTGTTGGGATTAATTGCATATGCCAACACAGCCTAGTCCTGTTGAAGATTTTAGGCTCTTTGCCTCCTTTTGGTCTTTGAGCTAGCTTTTCCCTCACATATCTACTTACCTTTCTTTAGTTATGCAGAGGTTTACTTAAAAAAAAAAAAAGCTTCATATGAGACTTAGAGACAGGTGATTCTTTGCAAAGCGTCCTACATCTTTACTGTATAATTTACTTCATATATTTACTGACTTTCTCTAATTAGAATATATATTAGTGATCTGTGATGAGTGTAGATTGTTGGAATGTTAAATGGTGTTTTCCTAGTCATCGAGTAATAGAATTGAAGTTTGGCTTCTGTAGCCTGTGTATTCTCAGTTTATCCACTAGTTTCAAGGACTGTGTAAGTTGAGGTTTCTTGTTCCGAACTATGTAGAAAGTGGGTCAGAGTGAGGAACACATGACTTGCTATCATTTAGTGATTCTTACCTACAAGCGAAGCTGCATTCTTACTAGCATCCTTTATTAATTTGTAGTTCACTGTATCTTAATTTAATATTTAATAAAGCTGGAGAGATGGTTCAGTTAGTAAAGTACTTATGATATAAACATAAGAACAAACTGATTTCCCAAAGTCCACTTTAAAAAAAGCTGTATGCAGTAGTGTACAAGTATAGAAGGATCTTTAGAGGTCTCTGGCTAACCCGTCTTTCTGAATTGGCAAGGTATCTCTGTTGAGGGAGATACAGTGTCCCACAGGGTAAGGTGGAGAGTGACTGGGAAAGGTCAGTATTTTGTCCTCGGGTCTCCACATCCAGACACATCTACATACATAGAAACACACAACATGTAGAGATTACCTTGAAGTCATGAATGTGTTATGTCTTAAATGATAGGTGTGCCATATTCTACAGCTCACTGAAATAAAAAGGGATGAGTACAAGTTTGTATTAAACCAGGAAATAAGTCATTACTAATTATCATCTGTGGTTCAGTAAAACTTTTTGTACAAAACCAGAGGACTGGGTTTGGGGGTGGGGTTCCTGGTGATATAACTAAGTAGTACAGCACTTGCTTCATGCAGAATGCACTAGGTTTAAACCACAGTACTACAAATCAGCAACAAAGTAAAAGAGATAATGGGTTGAATTTAGCATGTAGGACATTTTGCCACCTTTATCAGAGGGTAATTAATGCTTGTTAACATTTTAGTGCCTGGCATAACTGCTAAATAAGGAAATAAAATAACAGAATGTCTTAAAATAGAATGGTGATCATGAAAATAGCTTAATGTTCTATGTTTTCAAGAAGTTGAATAGACATACAAAGCTTCCCCAAATGGCTACATACCATAAAATAGTAATATTTCGAAAATAAAAGAACTACTATAAAGAAATGGGAATACCGAAATTCAGTTCTGCATACCTTAATACAATTCAAAATTAGTTTATTTGTGAAGATCATGATTTCTTTATATTCTTTGTGACAGTTATTCTTTAGGCAACTTAGCAATTAATGTCAAATATCTTATGCATTACTAAAACTTGTTAGTTTTTAGTAAAGTCAAGCAATAACAAAAACCTAGAGCATATAGGAAAAATGGAATTCAAAGTATAACATTTCATCATTGACACATAGATAGAATATAGGAACTATAAAAACTGTAGTCTTACTTTACATATCCCTAAGGAAAAAGAAATATGTAAGCGTTATAATAAATATGGTGCTTTAATGTGAAAAAAGATGTGACGCTTTCTTGTTTTGGAAGTGTCCTTCAAAGTGGTGAAGCAAAAGAAAGCTGTAAGGTAGTAGGAAGAAATGGATTTTAAACAGACAGTTTATAAATACCAGGTGTGTGTTGAACTGAGGGTTAAGGGGAGATACATAGGTCTGATTCAAGTGTGTAGTTCTCTAGTGGTACATGGCGTTTGTCAGAGGTAAAGAACATTCACAAACATGACTTTGCTTTAATTCACATTGCCTCCTGATTTGCCAGTTCATTTATGGATAAATAGATCAAAACTGTATCATTTGCCATAAAATACAAGCTGAATGAGGTTTGAAATATCATTTGTCCATGCAACATTGTTCATGAAATGATAAACCTTTCTGAGAATTTCTTTGGAATACTTATTTTTTGATTTTAGTATTAGAAATATTTTATCCTTGTGTTTAATTAGTAACTTGATATATTTTCATAAATAATTTTAATGGTTTTTACAATTCAGGATCAAGGACAAGTACTCAATGACACTGTGGATGGGAAGGAAATCTATAATACAATTCGTCGTAAAACAAAGGATGCTTTTTATAAAAATATTGTTAAAAAAGGTTATCTTCTGAAGAAGGGTAAGTAAACTCTTAAGACTAAGGATTTAATGTAGGATTTTAATAAATATATATAAAACATGCTGCAAGACGTCAGTTCTGACATCCGTTATTAGTGACTGACATTTGTTCAGAGCTTGCACATAGAACGCTTAGCATTAGGATTAGTTTATTAAATCCTAATATCTAACCAGGATTTTAGAACAAGCTTATATTTTTTTGAAGTGTGCCATTAAATCATGATGCAGTTTCAGGCTCTCAGCTATGATTTCTTAGAGAAATTCCTTTATGGCACTTGGATTTCAGAGAACTAAAATTTTATTTTATAAATATACCTCAGTTTTATATTAAGTTATTGAGGTGGATGTTGCTGGTAAACAATGACTCTAAAACAAGAATTTTAAACATTATAATGAAATTTCTGAAGACAAAGTTAAATATTCTAATGAACTCTACTATTCATTAACTCATTAAACAATCAGTAATAAGTGTTTCTTTCTACATGTTAGAGGCATTTTGTAATTATATATGGATTGATCTATTCTTTAAATGTAGAGTGAAAATTGAAATGTATTAAATATTCTGAAAATATGATTTCATAGTTCCTAAGGAAAGATAATATTTTTTTAACAGGCAAAGGAAAACGATGGAAAAATTTGTATTTTATCTTAGAGGGCAGTGATGCCCAACTTATTTATTTTGAAAGTGAAAAACGAGCTACAAAACCAAAAGGGCTGATAGATCTCAGTGTGTGTTCTGTCTACGTTGTCCATGACAGTCTCTTTGGCAGGTAAGACATTAACAACAATAGTAGATGTTTTCAGACCATTTTCTAGCCTAATCTATTTTAAGAGCATAAAATTACGTAAACTTATTTAAGGGTAATTTTTTTCTCAGCTTTTGACTAAGCTGTGTGTATAATTTGTTGGAATGGCTTCTCAGTAGTAGGAATAGCTACTAAGTATTTCATAAATTCACTTGACTTTGCTATTCTTCCTTCTTTTAAAACAAAACAGGATGCTAAGGGTAAGAAATGCACCCCCAAAACATTCACTATATGAAAGGCTAGGTTGGAACAAGGTGGCAGAAAAAGGCCTTTCAAGTCGTCTCTCCATATTAAAGAACTGTTCATGTACAAAAGTGTCTTTATTAGAGCTAAGAAAATCAGTTAGAGGAGGACATAATGTTGGATTTTTAGAAACACAGGGATTCACTAAAGGAGACAGGATGGACATGATATGTCACTTTTTTCCCAGTTATAAGGCATGCAGCATAGGAATAAGTGTCACCTGTGTCAAGAAAGGATTGAGTGTAGTTCTTAGACTTTAACCAATTGAAGCCGCCTAAATTAAACCAAACATTTCCTGAAAATAAGCAATATGGGGCTGGTTTTGTGTATAGACCTGAATTCACATTAAACAATTTTATTTATAAAACAAAAACAAACATGAAGGCTGTAATAAAATCCAAGGTACTTCAGCCTCATGTGTTTTTTGTTTTTGTATGACGGGATCAGACTATGACTGTTTGATACGAGAGTTCAAAAATATGTTCTGTAGGAAAAAACCCTCTTTGTGGGAATAACTCTTACATCACATATTTATTGAATAAGGAGTGAATAGAACAAAGACACGTTCTGACAGTTGGAAAGAAGTAATTTTACATGTAGCATCACTATCCTCATTGATTGAGTCTAGTCTACAGTTCCTTGTAGAAATTCTTTATATGATACTTTAAATGTACCATGATGTGAACATTTAATGATACCAGGTCTGAAACTTGATATAAAAAGTTATGTCTATAAAACAAAGCTCAAATCTTAATCTCTGTCCCTGAAATAGGACAGTATAGTATCTTCTTTTTACAGTATGTACTATTTTTGGAGAGTGACTAGGAAAACAGAGCAGCAGTTTTCTGTTTCTTAGATTTTCTACCTATTTTTCATGAAACTCATACAGCTGAGTAAGCAGTCAATTGCTCTTTCCCAGCTTGAACAATGTGTCTTCATTAAGCACAGCACACTGCATTAACAATCCTCTCTGAGTTCTTTTACCATACTGATGATAGCTTTATTGCCTTCCATCATTTTCACTGATACTTCAGTTTTTCTCTTAGATATATTAGTTATTTACATATTAATACTAATTAATCTTTTTCTGGATGCTTTGAAGGTTTTTCCTTTAACAAAACCAGAATATGCCTACTGCTGTATATTTTTTAAATTCTAATGATTTTAGTTTCATAAATGAGAGATCTGTTGTCTTCTTTCAGCTTTAGAAAAATCTTTGTTGGCATGTTTTTGCAGTGCTTCTGCAAAATTTCTTCTAAGATCTGCAATAAACATGTTTCATGTCCCACATAGCTAAATATATCGGTTTGTTTGTGTTTTACATCTAGTCTTGTGACCTCTTCTTCAAGCTAGGTACTTCCTTTTGATAGCTCACTTAACTAATTTATTCATCTTCACTTAAGTAGTCTGATTAATTTTGTTGATCACATTTTCAGTTGAGATGTTTAATTTTTTTTATAGATCTAGTTCTTCATCTGTACTGCTTTTTTTTTTTTTTAAAGATTTAAGTTATACCTACTTGTACATTATATTTGGCTATTTGTCCTCTCCTGTCCTTTTCCTTTTCACTTTTCATTAATTTGTTTCTGGTTCTATTATCTGCTTCTGCTTGCATGAATGATAGATATCTTGTGTGAAAAGCTTTGAATGATGTTACTGCTTCCAGAACCTAGTGTTCCCATACCCTATGGTGGTCAACTGAAGACTGAGTTTTGAAGTTGGAAAACTCTTTGGTTTGTCCTTATGTGAAGATGTAGTCACTTTCAGGTGTCTGTTCACTGAGGGTTCTGAGTTCCATTTTCCTCCCTAATCATGGTGACACTTCTGGGGATTTTGGATAGCTTTTCACTTGCTGCTTGCTGCTTAGGAAATCAGCTTCATAGCTTTGGCTGTTCCCACATATCTTATGAAAAGGTTGAAAAGAAACAGGATGGGGAATCTCAATCTCCCCCAAAATGAGCTTATTTCTCAAGCTTCCCAATTCGTACTGTTCTTCATTTCTTCACATGGTCATTTACTAGTATTGGACATTTTGCCATTCTAGATAGTTAATTGCAATCACGTTATATTTAAATTAGATTACATTATGTTTAAATTAGAAATTCTCAGTTCACAATTTTCCATTATTTTATGATCTTCCCAAAGCATAAAAATCTTTGTTTACAGAAACAGACATAATATTTGAGTTCTGAACACTTCCTGTTTAACACTTTATTAAGCATTTTCAAGTTTAACTGGATAGTCAGCATATTGCCAGACCAGATACCTGACAAGCGATTTATTGTAATTCATACTGGAGGAAGGTATGAACAAACATTGTAGGTCATTAAACTATAGAGCAAGAGCTGTAGGAGAGGTGGTATTTTTGATCTAGTAGATGAAAACAATCAAGACTGTAAAATATTTGAAAATAGAAAATTATAATACAAGACATTAAAACTTCAGTCTGCTTAGAGATAAGGATTAACATTTTTTAAGTAAGAACATTCCTTTTTACTTTTCAGTGCATGCACACACTGTCTGTGTATTAATTTCATGTAATTCTAGAAATTCTACTTAAAATTATTTTATCACTTTTCTTTTTGTAATTCTTTTTTAATATTAATTTTGCTCTTTAGTTTAAATATTGAATGAGAGAATTTCAATTTTGCAAAACTTATGCATGATATTTCAATCTGGCAGAACGAAATATCTACTCTAAGTTTAAAAATTATAGCAATCTTAAATTACACTTTGTGGCTTTTTAAAGTTGGTGTAAATAAATTATTGTTTCTAAATAATTTTTCTCTTTCTTCGTTTTTTTTTTTTTACCCGTGTGTGTGTGTGTATGTGTTCCAAGGCCAAACTGTTTTCAGATAGTAGTCCAGCACTTTAGTGAAGAACATTACATCTTTTACTTTGCAGGAGAAACTCCAGAACAAGCAGAGGTAAGATCAGGTTTTCCTAAACTATTGACATCTTGGTATTCGCCTAACTTTCCTTATTAACTAGCATACAAAACTGCCACAGCATAGTGTTACGAAAGCATGGCTAAAGTCTTAGTATTTTAACAAATAAGAAACTCCATGTCAAAGGTTTGTTGATAGTTTTTGATATTTTTTTCTATTTAACACACACAAGGAAGTGTTATGAAGAATGAAAAGTGCCCTTTAAAACTGACCGTTAAATACTCTATGAATTGAGTTGAAAGTAGTCATTTCATCATATTTCCGTAAGTTAGAGGTATTCTCAATATAATCTAACAGTAAGCCAGTTAGTTGTAATATTTCCGAGTATTTAACTGTATTTTGTACAGATATGACTGTTGTCTGAGGAAACTCTGAAAAATAAATTAGATTAAAATGAACGAAAGTGGCTAGGAATAGAACATCATCTGCCAGGCCCAGATGTGAGCCATATGACCATAATACTTTGGATCCTAAGTAGGCCCTTAGACTTAGAAATTAATAAAAATATTAGAGACAGTACTACTATTATTTTGTTTTTTTTGTTTCACTTTGGTAGGACAGAAAGAAATTACACTCTAGTATATTTTGAGAGTAGCAATGGCAAAGTACAAACAGCAAATAATGAATACAAAGAAGATAAATTAATAATTGCATAAACTCATGTCTGTTTCTTTGTTACACTGTTGTTTTCTTTGTGTGTGTGTAGGATTGGATGAAAGGTCTGCAAGCATTTTGCAGTTTACGGAAAAGTAGCCCAGGGACATCTAATAAACGGCTTCGTCAGGTGAACCTTTATTTTGTCTAACTTGTAATAGTTAATTTTCTTTTCACTTTGCTCTGTTTTTTCTAAGTATGCTACTTTTGCTAACATTTCTTAAGAGTAGAAAGGTAGTTTTTCAGGCATTTTTAAGCTTTGCTGTCACTTGCTTGACTTGGTAGCAGATTCCTTTGTCAAAGAGAGTTCTTTATATATGTACTCTCATTTCTAGTCTGTGTCAGCTTCTAAATAAATACAGAGGATTAATTTTCCACTTAACCCCATCTTATGCCTATTTTTTCTTGCTTGAAAAATTCTCAAATTAGGAAGAATGAAAGGTACTTTTGAAAAGTTAATCCTGCTCTAGGTAGTATCCTTGAAAACTTCTAGTTTTCATGGTATAGACTTTTTGAGACTGACTACATTATTTTTAGGAAATAAGCAATCTTAATAAAAACTAAACGTCTATGCTTTTGTTTATTGGAAGTTCAGCTAAACTCCTTTATTTGGTTATGTACTGCTACATACTTTTTCTTAACTATTTTTCTGATTAGAGATAGGGTTTCTGTGTGTAGCCTAGCCTGGGTTCAAGCTTACAGTAACTCACCAGCACCATTCTCCTGAATGCTAGGATGACACGTGTGTGCCACCGTGGGAACTGACTTAGTTCTTACTTCTTGGCCTTCACCTTTTTCCTTTGTTGTTTCAAATCAGATTTTGATGTGGTTTTTGGAGAAAGTCAAGATATTTATAGAGTAAAGTGACCCCTATTAATGGATATTTCTAGTAAGCTTGTTGAGTTTAACATACTATTTTATTGGAAGTATATAGAAAAATTGTTTATTTAGGTGATGAAATACTCTTCATAATATAAACCCTGGTCTTTGTCCCAATTATATTTAATTATATTTATGATTTAAATATTAAATATATAGAAATTGTCATGTATATTTGTACATGTAAAAATCACACCTAATATCTTGAGTCCCTTTGATGTGTCATTTAATCTGTTGTGTGGCTGTGAGTTGTTTCCAGTCATTAACATGGCATGTAGTCTTGTACTTTTACTGTATGAAAAAGCAGAAGTTCTGAGACTGACTTGTTAGAGGTGACGTAACTCATAGTAAAGGAAGAGCAATACTAGGTGGTAGAGAGTTGGGTCTGGCACCCACACTAGTGATACAGTTAGTTTCTTGGAATTACTGTCTTTTCTGAAACGTCAGAAGGTAAAATTAATGTCTTAGACTACCTTAACCATGAAACTCTTATTAGAGTAGTGAAATCTTACTGTAAGCTATGATATTTGTAGTTTCGATGTGGATGGTGATAGTTGATTCGCAAAGCTTATGTTTGTTTGTTTGTTTTGAGAAAAGAGTCATTATTTTTTGGGTTTTGAAGCCTCATATACAAGTCTTGAAATGTTGGATATGTATTTTTGTGTTTTCTTTAGGTCAGCAGCCTTGTTTTACATATTGAAGAAGCCCATAAACTACCAGTCAAACACTTTACTAATCCATATTGTAACATCTACTTGAATAGCGTCCAAGTAGCAAAAACTCATGCAAGGGAGGGGCAAAACCCAGTATGGTCAGAGGAGTTTGTCTTTGAGTAAGTCATATTTTATCATATTTAATCAGCTTTTAGAATCATAATTATATTTTCCTCCTGCTGTTTATATATAAAATATCTGTTTAAGTTTCTATTGTTTTCTAGGTGTTTTAATAGTATTTTCTATTGGCTTTTTTTCATATTTTGATTACTCAAAAGTAATGACAAAATGTTTTCCATATTTCCTAATTTTGTTTTAATGTATTATTAATGGCTTAATCTTGTTTTAAATCTAACACACTGAATTTTTAAAACAGAAATAAGGTAGTTTGATATTAGAACTTTCTCTAATTTTTCTCCTTGTTTTTTTTAGTGATCTTCCTCCTGATATCAATAGATTTGAAATCACACTTAGTAACAAAACAAAGAAAAGCAAAGATCCAGATATCTGTAAGTTGAATATGAAGTTTTCTAAAGTAATAAAAGCATATTGTATATATTTTTAGAATTTATGATATGTCAAAGAAGTGAAACACATGCTGTGTAACAATTTGCTTCTAAATATTTTGATTGTTCAGAGGAGATTGTGAAGGAAAGAAAGAACAAAATGGCTAAAGTGTATGTACTGTAAGTCCTTACAGCTTAAAATATACAAATACTCACTTCCCTGTTCCCAAAGAACAAGATGAGAAAATGATAGTGATTGTTTTTTAATCCTCTTTACTTTTTAAGTGTCCCCTAATTTCCTACACTTCACATATTAAAGGTAATGTTAAAACTAGAGTTATGTAATTGAGTGGTAGAGTATTTGTCTAGCATGCAGAGGGCTGGGGATTAAAACCTAAACCTGCAAAGAAAAAGAAAAACATACACAGAAAATTTAGATGTTTAATAGCAGATGCTCAGTTCCTATTCCAAGCAGTACATTTCTTCCCATATTATTGGTAGGATAGATGACACTGTGACTTAATGATTCACATCAGGGTGAATTAGGTTTATGTCTTCTTACAACTTAGAGTTTTACGGTAAGCAGTACTATGACAGAGCCCTGTAGTTCTCTGAATAGAGTGTTGAGTCTGTAATTGCTTACCTTTTTTTTTTTTATGTATTTCTCTGTTACTTATAATATCCGAGTAATGGCACAGAAAAATGCCGTACTGTCTATTTGGATCTGGTCTTTATTGTTCTACCTTTTTACCTCACTAGTAACTCAACTCACAGTTTTTTGTTTGGAACAGATTTTTAACTCCCCTAGGCTGATTTATGTATCCTTGTGTCCAAAAGTATTATCTACTGTTGAAGCACGTGAATTGCATCCTCTTCGATAGCTTAAGACATTTTGTATGCATATCAGACATTAATTCTTAATCATTTCTTAATCCCATGTTCTCATACTACAACAGAATATCACATAGCAGGCCTTCAATAAATGAAGGAATAAAACAGTTACATGTTGACTTTGTGGTAGTGTTGAAAACTTGCTTAATGAACAGCATTTAAAACTAGAGAACAGTATTATCAAGAAAAGTTTATTATATGAACATTGTGGTTTTCTAATACAGTAATTGGTTTTTCCTTTGCAGTATTTATGCGTTGTCAGTTGAGCAGGTTACAGAAAGGACATGCCACAGATGAATGGTTTCTGCTGAGTTCCCACATACCACTAAAAGGTATTGAACCAGGATCTCTGCGTGTTCGAGCACGATACTCCATGGAGAAAATCATGCCAGAAGAAGAGTACAGTGAATTTAAAGAGGTATTGTTTACTAGTTTAATCATTTTTAATGATACTAAATAGAAATATTTACTATTTAATAAAAGTCCATTAAGTTAAATAGTAATGCCCTATATTAATGGCAGACTAGTAGCCAGATGTAAAACACATAATGTGATTTTGATCTTAATAAGACTAGAAATATATAAGCTACAAAGTCATTTTTTAAGTCGTATTCAATGTTTTTTCAGTGATATTTTTTGCTGTGTGTACTCTCAACAGTCTGTATTTATGTTACTTTTAGCTTATACTGCAGAAGGAGCTTCATGTAGTCTATGCTTTATCACATGTATGTGGACAAGACCGAACACTACTGGCCAGCATCCTACTGAAGATATTTCTTCATGAAAAGCTTGAATCATTGTTGTTATGCACACTAAATGACAGAGAGATAAGTATGGAAGGTAATATATGGATGTATGATAGTTTTAATAACTATTTGTTAAATGTATTAAATAAACAAATCATTTTAAAAGGATGTGAGATTCTTTAATATGGGAATGCATTATTATTTCCAATTGTCATGACAGATAAATATTAGAAGCTGTAAGAAAATGATTTCTTTGTCCTGATCACTCGGTGTGTAATCAACAGTGGTGTGATATTTAGTTTTTACTTAGTAACTCATGAGTAGAAGTCATAGAATACTGGTGTATTTTATTTCTAGATTATTTATCAGTCTCAAGGCCACTGTAACATATTACTATGCTTTTCACAGATTCCTAATCTATTTTCTCCCAGCACTTTGATGTGGTGACAATGCTTGCCTTCTTTAATCATAAAAATTAATTTGTCAAGGAATAGATAAAATGGTACATATTTTTTGTATTTGGTGAAGAGACACCATAACCAAGGTAACACTTGTAAAAGAAAACATTTAAATTGGGGCCTTGCTTGCAGTTTCAGAGATTTAATTGATTATCATTTTGACAGTATTAAGCATGGCAGCATGTAGGCAAACACTGTAGCAGTAGCTGAGAGCTACATCCTGATCTATAGGCACAGAGACTCCAGGCTTGGTATGGGCTTTTGAAACCTCAAGCCCATCTCTAGTGACAACACTTTGTCCAACAAGGGCAAACTTCCTAATCCTTCTAATCTTTTCAACAAGTGTAATTCCTGGTAAATGAGCCTTCAAATATATGAGCCTATGGGGACCATTCTTACTCAAACCACTACAGAGGTGAAATTATTTGTTTTTGGTTGTGAAATCAGTAGAAAGCAAAGCAAGATATGGTTCCTATGTTTATCACAAACTGGTGTTCAACACACTGTAGAACTATTTTGAATCTTAACTTCTCATATGAACATGATGGTGCTTTAGTTTTTCTCACATGATAGTTATGATTTAAATCACTGAGGTAAGGTGAATTCATGCCTGTTAACCTCAACATATGTATGTAAAAAGCACATTACTGAAGAAAAATAATTTCCAGCTTAGTTATATTAGTACAGTTCTATAAATACAATGAAACATCCATTTTTGTGTAGATGAAGCCACTACCCTATTTCGAGCTACAACACTTGCAAGTACCTTGATGGAGCAGTATATGAAAGCCACGGCCACACAATTTGTTCATCATGCTTTGAAAGACTCCATTTTAAAGATAATGGAAAGCAAGCAATCATGTGAGGTAAGAATTTATAGTTTTAATCTTTGCAGCAAATAGCATTATTTTAATGAGAACTTTTAACAAATTACATATTTAGGAAAATACATCACTTCTGAAATTTATCAATGCAATTATGCTTTCTAATATATTTATAATCTGCCTCTCCTTGAGTACATACAAAGCTCTTTGACCATTTCTCTTACTATGTTAATGATCTTAAAGAAAATGTGTATAACATAAATTGAACACTTTTCTAGGGACTTTTGCTGTACATGTTGAGTATCTGTTATTGAAAAAAAGTATTTTAAAAACTTTGGATGATTTCATGTATATAGTAAAGTATACTGGGAATGGAACCTAAGTCTTATGACTAAGGTTAATTTTACATGAGTTCGTGGAGGCTTGTTTTATGGTTTGCCCATTGTGTGCAGTCGGATGTGGAATTTCCCAAGTGGATAATGAGTGCCATGACAGCAGTCAAAGGGTGCTTACCTTGAGCAAAATGTTATAACATCGTCTCCTTAGAGGGATTTCTGGGCTATTTTATGGATGGCAGGGATTAAGAGAAGATGAAATGAAATAATCTTTTAAAGATGATTAAGGTTCCACTGTGACTTTATAGGCAACCCATACCATCATGAGTAGACTCACTCTTACATGACTGTTCTACTTCATGAATGCTACAGAGCAATGTCAAAGGAAGAGAATATAAATGTATATCAAGTATAAGACTTGATATAGTTTCAGTAAAATAAGGAAATACTTTTTAACACTTGAGCTGTAAAATGTTAATTCTACCACAACAAAATGAGTGATTTTAAGTTGAAGATAATCCCATAATTACCCTTACTATGAAAGTTGACATAGCCTTCAGATTTGTAGATAAATCTGGCAGACCAAACAGTTGGATGGTGGGGAGGAGGGGTGTACTTGAAAAGTTGAGAAGGGTCATGATTTTACTTAATATATTTTGGTTATTTTCCTTAGCCACTAAGTAAGTTGAACGTTACTAAAAACATAAACAGAACTGAGTAGTTTAATATTCATTTGAGAAACTGAGAATGAATTTTAGCAAACTTAATTTGTATATGTGGAACAGGTAACAGATTTGAAAATATCCGCTCATTCACCACGATTTACTTGAAATTCAGTAATCACAAAAAATAAATTTGTATTTCTCTTAGTTAAGTCCATCAAAGTTAGAAAAAAATGAAGATGTGAACACTAATTTAGCACACCTATTGAGCATACTTTCAGAGCTTGTGGAGAAAATATTCATGGCTTCAGAAATACTTCCACCGTAAGTTGTTAATTCGATTTGTCTTTTAATGAATGATTTCTGTTATCTCGGCATTATACTCAGACTTTCAGTCCTTAAAAGATGGATTATGTTTAAGGAAAAGAGAGTAAAAGAATAACTGTTAAAGAAGCTAGATGAAATTTCAGACATTGTGGCACATGCCTGTAATCCCAGAATTGGAGAGGTTGAGGCAAGAAATGCATGGTTAGGTTAACCTAAACACAGAACTTACAATTTAAATTGTATAATGTAGACCAAGTAAGACTGGCTTATATTTTAGCTTAGGGAGTGATTGACATGTCTCAAATCTGAGGACAGTATCTGGAAATTTAGCCTTTATTTCTTGCCTAACATTAATTTTTCAGCAAACAAAGACAAAAGAAGTTTAAGATGTACATAAGATGTCAGTATTAATGTCTGATTAAGTTAGTGTGAGAAAACTCACTTGTTTAGATGGAAGAGTCAAAGTAATAGAAAATGTGCTGTTTTAATTACTCTATTCTCATTTCTAATAACTTGTTTCATTAACACAGAATTTACAATTCATTGAGCTAAGCACACTGGATTGTTTCTACATCCATTACTGAATGTGTTCCTCATTACTTTTCACAAAACCTTATTTATATGAGAAAGCCAGATGCATTAAAACTTGGTATACAGTTTAGGTAAATTAAAAATCTGTCTGCTATTAGATTAATATGATGATGATATTCAATTTCTGTATTGAGACATTTATGTTATTTTGGCAGGACACTGAGATATATTTATGGGTGTTTACAGAAATCAGTTCAGCATAAGTGGCCTACAAATAACACCATGCGAACAAGAGTTGTTAGGTAAGAGTCACTTCTTCATTTGTTATAGACATTATATGCAACATACACTGATTTGTATACATAGGCAGAAATATAGAAACTTGTTGCTTGGAGAAATACAGTAATTGAACCATTTGGATTTTAATTAGTTTGTAGCATCTAGGATGCCAGGCTAATCTCCAGTCATACCTTGTAATTCTGAAGCTGACTCAGTCTGGTCATAGTCAGTAACTAAGAACGGCTTTGGCAGCCATCATTATTATCCAGTGAGGAAGCAGATCTAGAGAGATTAAACTGTTTGCTTAAGTTATACACTTAATTTCTAAAACCATCTAAAATCTTAATATTGTTCAAAGATTTTGGTAAGCATATCTCAGCTAGTACACAGTGACTAGAAATTTAGTAGAAATATATCAAATACAGCAGTTTTACAGTATTATGGAAAATACACAGTACACGTAAAAATGGAAAATTTTTATAGACATGTTTCTAATGTAAATTTTGTCAAGAGAATTCTTTTCTCATGGACAGAAAGAATTTCTAATAGTGGCCTAAGGGCATAGCTCAGTGGTAGAGCACTAGCTTAACACTAAAAGGTCCTGGATTTGATTCTTACCACTGAATAAAACAGCCTACCAAAACCCATCAGTTAGTTGTGCCAAGACATACTGAAGAACTGTAGGAATGAGAAAATGAAAAGCATACTATTTGAGCAGCTGTTTGTTCTGTACATAACATGCTTTAAATATGCATAACTGTCAAACTAATAAAACAGGGAGTCCTCTGGTTGGATTAATAATGCTTTAGAGGCTTTTGCTGCCTACGGTGATTTCTCTTCTTAATCATCTTTTAAATTGTGTAGTACCCATGTATTACTCAATTTAAAATCACCTTAAAAACTTAAAAATATTTTTTGACTGAGATTTTTTTTTGTTTTGCTTTTTTGTGTGTGTGTACATTTTCCTTTTTTTTATTGGATATTTTATTTATTTACATTTCAGATGTTATCCCCTTTCCCCACTTCCCCTCACCCTATCTCCTCTCCTCCTGCTTCTATGAGGGTGTGCCCCCACCCATCTCCACCTCCCCACCCTCGAACTCCCCCCACACTGGGGCATCCAGCCTTCACAGGAACAAGGACCTCCTCTCCCATCTATGCCTGACAAAACCATCCTCCCTTGCATAAACAGCTGGAGCCATGGGTCCCTCCCTATGTGCTCCCAGGCTGGTGGTTTAGACCCTGGGAGCTCTGGTTGGTTGGTATTGTTGCTCTCCCTATGGGGTCGCAAACCCATTCAGCTTCTTCAGTCTTCTCTCTACTCCTCCGTTGGGAACCCCATGATCAATCAATGGTTAGCTGTGAGAATCTGCCTCTGAATATGTCAGACACTGGCAGACCTCTAAGGAGACAGCTATATCAGGCTCCTGTCAGCATGCACTTCCTGGCATCCGCAAAAGTGTTTGCCTTTGGTGACTGCACATGGGATGGATACCCAGGTAGGGCAGTCTCTGGACAGCTCCACCTTCAGTTTCTGTTCCACACTTTGTCTCCATATTTGCTCCCTTGAGTATTTTGTTACTCCTTCTAAGAAGGACAGAAGCACCCCCACTTTAGTTTTCCTTCTTCATGAGCTTCATGTGTTCTGTGAGTTGAATCTTGGGTATTGCCAGCTTTTGGGCTAATGTCCACTTATCAGTGAGTACATACCATGTGTGTTCTTTTGTGATTGGGTTACCTCACTCAGGATGATATTTTCTAGTTCCATCCATTTGCCTAAGAATTTCATGAAGTCATCGTTTTTACTAGCTGTGTAGTAATCAATTGTGTAAATGTACCACATTTTCTGTATCCATTCTTCTGTTGAAGGACATCTGAGTTGTTTCTAGCTTCTGCCTATTATAAATAAGGCTGCTATGAACATAGTGGAACAAGTGTCCTTGTTATATGTTGGAGCATCTTTTACTGGAGCAGACCAGCTAAGGAGTCTGCCCCAGCAAAAAGGACTAAGAGAGGGGTGGAAGGGGAGTGGTGTTGGGGAGGGTGGGGTTTGTTGGATGATGGGTCCTGAGTGCCCCAGACTGTAGCTTTGGGGCTTTGGGTTGTGGGGGAGAGTTCTTATTGGCTGCTCTGAGTACAGTGGTTCCTCTAGGTCGGGTCAGGTTATGGTGTCTTCACAGGAGCAGTCACTGAGATTTATTAATGGTTTAGTGTTGCTACTTCAGGTTTCTAGTTCCCAGACCCTACTAAAGTATCAAAATGTTTTTAGAAAACCTTATCCAGGAACCTTCACTAAGGGGAAAAAGAAATCAAAATGTGAAGAGTTATTAATTGTAAGTAATCTGTAGAAGGAATTTAACAGCTGTGGAATACTGCTTGTCAGGGTTAATTATTACCATGTGTTCTTTAAGAAGTGAAAATTGATCGTATATGACAACATACACTATTGACTGAGAAACCAGAGTAGGGTATCTATAAAAGCTTCCATTAACTGCAGTTCTCAAAGTAAAACTGATGTCAACCATGGCAGCTGTTGATATGCCATGTTAAGTTCTGTTATTTTGAAATTGAACAATTTTTAAAGAAAATTTTAGAATTTGTAGTATCATTGAAAAACTTTCAGTGTTTATTGAATACATTTTCATTTGTCCAGGAGTCACTTATAATGACAGTGTATTCCAATGTTTCTATAAGTTGTCAGAAGTATTGATATAGCCAACTTAATTCAGTCTCACACATTTTTTTGTTTAAATAAACTTTAAAAGACAAGGAGAAGAGTGGATGACTAGACCCTTACAGAACTATATATTTATAGAAGGTTTACTTGACTCTTCTAGCAAATCTCAATGGTTTAAATATACTGCTTCCTGTAGTAGAAAACAAAGTACTAACCTATAAAGAGGTAAGAAATTTAAGTGGAAAATTTCCAAAATTTCCAAAGTTAATCTGTAAGTTTGTTTTATAAGTTTCTTAATAACTTTATTTAGGCTTCCCTATGTTGAGAGTAAAGTTATGGTTCTAAGTTTAAGAGTAAAGTTATGGTTCTAAGTTTAAGTTACTTGTTCATAATTTAAACATAGTTTTCTAAAAAAAATGTTTTTTCCTTCCAATTAGTGGTTTTGTTTTTCTTCGGCTTATCTGCCCTGCTATCCTGAATCCACGAATGTTTAATATCATCTCCGGTAATTACCTTTTAATATATCTTCAAGTGAGAAAAAAATCAGTATTTTCATAATGTTTGATAAAAATACTTGGCTTTTAAATCAAATTTAAAAAAGTTCAAGACACACTATTCCCTGCCTTACCTTTTAGTATCTAAGATGTTAGATTTTTGTGTTCCTGTGACTCATTTATTTATTTTAAAAAGTCTACATTGTACTCACTTGAGCATATGTAGGAGTCAGAGGTAGCTGTTGGGAGATGACTGTCTCTTTTCACCATGTGTGAGTGCCTGGGATTGAAATCAGGACGGACATCAGGTTTGGTGGCTAGCATGTTTACCACTCTTGCTGGCCTGCTGGCTCTGACAAGTGTTTGTAGATTAGGAAGGGCTCTTGTGTCCTTTGTCTACATCAAAGTTACTGTAAGGTAAACTTTCTTCTAAGATGCAGCCACATTAGCAGTCTGTGAACATTTACCAAGATAGCCCAGGATTCCTTAGTTACAAAACATTAGCCACCTTACATTTTAATAAGCTTGATCCCATTTTGCTCTTCACTAATTGTCCACAGAAGAATTTTAAGATTTGTAAGTTTAAAAGTGTTGATGTTTATGACTTCAATGTTGCAATGAGCCTATCAATATTAATAGAAGGAAACAATCATTTTTATGCTAATACTTTGAACCTCAAAGCTATATTAAAAATTATTTGAGTTGGAATGCATTTTGTAATTCTGTAATCACAGAATCTAGGATGCTAAGGCACACACACAAAAAAAGCCCAAGGCAAGCCTAGGCTATGTAGCCAGACTATGTCACTAAACACAGTAGTATGTACCTACAAATGCCCATCTGTATGAAGGGTGAGTCTGAAAGAGTCCCCTATATCTTAAAAACAAAAGGAAGACCATAGTTTTTTCAATATTTTTACTTTCATACTCACCACATTCCTGCAATTACTTTTTACTTACTACTAAAGTGATTGAATACATGCATATTACGACTAAAAGACTGGGGGCTGGTGTCATGGTTCAGTGTTTAAGATCATATACTGCTCTTACAGAGGACCTGAATTCCCTTCCCAACACCCATGTCAGATGGCTCACAGCCACTTATGACCCCAGCTCCAAGGGATCAGACACTAGGTCTTGCTTCTGTGGTCTTGTAGCTGTACTCATTTGTACATACCCACACCAAAATATACACAACCTTATAAAAATTAAAAGGCATAGAATTTTTTGAGAGCCTTAAACTACTTTAATCTTGTGTTAGGTTTTACAATACAGTTTGAATCAGTGAGTCAAAATATAATAGTTGCAGGCTGTGAATGTAGCTAAGCTGGTGGAACGCTGGCAGAGTATACATGAGGCCCTGGGCTCAACCCCCTTGTACCTGGTAAAACTCAAGTAAGAAAACAGCCATGAGATTAGAAACTCAATGTTTTCCATGAACATGGGTAGGGCCTTAATTGTCAGTTTCTATTTGGTAGCTAAAAATACTTTTCGTTTACATTCCACTTTCTATATTCTACACGGGAGTTTTTTATGAACTCAAAAACTGATCTTTAAAGTGAACTAGTGGCCTTCAAATAATGTTGGTAATAGGGAATTGCGAAGATTGCAAAATGCTCCCCTACGTGGGTTGAAATTAGCTTTGGGCACTGTCCTAAAAGGTTTGTAGAGTGAGTGATAGTCTTCTTAGCACTAAAGCAGCTTTTTGAAGTATTCTGAAATATTATCAGCCAGTTGGGAATTACTCAGGTTTGTAGTGTACTTTTCACAAAAAACAAGAAGCACTGATAAGTGTCTTCAATTTTCCCCTTTTAATTCAAGTTATTTTGAATTAGGTCATACATTTTCGAGGACTATTCTGAATAAAGGACTTAGTATTAACACTAAAGAAATATTAATGCGGGGTGGTGGTCGTGCACGCCTTTAATCCCAGCACTTGGGAGGCAGAGGCAGGCAGATTTCTGAGTTCAAGGCCAGCCTGGTCTACAGAGTGAGTTCCCGGACAGCTAGGGCTATACAGAGAAACCCTGTCTCGAAAAGACCCCCCCCCCCCCCCCAATAAATGTTAGACCATTTATCTGAAACTAACCTCTGGAGTTGGTGTCATTGGCTTACCCAATTTTCTTCTAGATTCCCCATCTCCGATTGCTGCAAGAACACTGACATTAGTGGCTAAATCTGTGCAGAATTTAGCAAATCTCGTGGAGTTTGGAGCTAAGGTAAAAATATTTTGATGTTTAAATATGTTAACCAAATTTAAATTCACAATGAATATACACCAGATCTTTAAAACATGATTGGAATGGTACAGTTATCTGCTTTTGTGACTTAGTATATGACAAATTTTTTCACAAACTCACAAGTATGTACATACCACTAGTCAGTATGCAGTCCTTTAACTGATGTTCAGATGTAACAGGTAGTCATTCTTCTTTACACTTCCTTTCAGACTTGCCCTAAACTTTGGGGTATGATTAATAATTAAATGGCACATGTCAAGCTTTTATCATATATTTCACTATTGGTTATTTTTATTTTGTGCCAGATTCATTTCTCTCTCTCTTTTTTTTTTTATACAAAAAGATTTATTTCCTTCTATCTGTATGATTGTTTTGCTTGCATGCATGTTAAGTCCACTGTGTTCCTTGTGCCTACATAGGCCAGAAGAAGGCAGCAGATTCTCTGGAACATAACAGTTGTAAGCCATCATATGGGTGCTGGCAACTAAACCCTGCTCCTCCTCTGCAAGAGTAGCAAGTGCTCTTAATGCAGAGCCATCTCTTCAGTCCCATAGATCCTTCTCTCTCTTCATCTGCTAGGGGTGTAACTTTGTTTCATTATTGTTCTTCAAAATTTCATGCCTACATCTTTGGGATTTCCAATTGAACACTATCCCATTTGAAGCTTGTTGTCGATACTTTGGTAACTAGAAATTATAAATTATAGTGGGTTAGGATTTTAGTTTAAGTAGTTTACATTTATGGGTTATCTTCTGAATTTTCCTGAAACTCAAACCATATTTGGGTTTGCAATCATAGGGAGTTTTTGGTTTCACTGTGTTTTAATTCTCTATAATGTGTTGGATTCTTCATAATTTACCAGTAATTAACTCTAGATCTACATATAAACAGTCTGTGTCTGCCAAGCTATATGTTTAATAATTTTTAACTTATAATTTAATTTGTTATTTAATTTTGAATCTCCATTCCTCCACAAAATTTTATATTAGAAGAAAATGTTCACATGAATAAATACTAATTCTTGCAACATGTATAGTTTTTTCGTTGTAAAACAGTTGTTTTAAGGCATATGAGATGTAAGTTTTTAATTTTTTAGGAGCCTTATATGGAAGGTGTCAATCCATTCATCAAAAGTAATAAGCATCGCATGATCATGTTTTTAGATGAACTTGGGGTATGTATATAATTTTTAAGTTCTTTGAGAATGAGGTTAGCCATATAAGTAATAACCCTTAGATTTTAAAATGGGGACTTCAAAGTAAAATCTTTTCTATCCAAAATGTTTTTTCACTTATTCTTGTTTATGTCAAGTATACACAATTGTGGCTTTTAACCAGTCATCTTTCAGACTGTCTTTTCATACCCTGTAGCTATTGTTGGATTTAACCCTTTAAGTTGTAGCTGAAACAAGATTTGAAGCCATTTATATTGGAAGTAAAGTTAGAACTAGAGTTAGAACTAGATGAAATAGTATAATTACTATGTCTCACTTGAGCTTTTAAGAGTTAAACTGATACAAAATTGAAGAATATAGTCATAATTTCTTAGACCCTAATTAGTAAAGTGAAATTTTCTACATCATATACATTTCTAACACTGAATGAATTTTAAAGTAAATATATTCATAATGTGGTATGTGTACATGGAGAAAAAGCCAAAATTAGCATGTATGTGTGAGTTGAGCCAAGTTCATGTCATCACAAGTGTAGAAGACTCAGCTGTAGTAGTGTATTCCAACTCAGTGATTAGTAAATAAGTGATTCAATTAAAACAAATGTATTTGAGTTTTTTAAAGAAATAACTAAACTGTTCAATTTTTAGAAATTTGTGACAATTCTACCACATGTTAAAGTTTACTCCAAGGCCATATTTAATGCAGTTATACAGTATTATAAAATTATTATGATGGCTAAGTTACTTCATGAAGCTTAAACACATTAACGTCCAATAATCTCATATTTTAGAAATTTTCTTGAGTATGGTCTATTGACATTGCAAACAAAGTAAATTTTTATACTTTCTTAATGTAGTTTCTCTTTAGATGTTGGTTAATTTAGATAGAGTACTATAGTGATACTCAGTCTAGGAATTTTTTAAGTTGTAATATTATTTATTTTGCATATGCTCTAAGTTTCAAAAGAAAACAATTCACAGTGTCATTCTATGGGAGAGTGTAGAACCTGGCTTCTTTGTAAATAGAGGTTCTACAACCTAGGTTTAGCAGAATTACTTGAATAAAAATTTTTGTACAAATTAGCATTTTCTACCTAGCTAGGATAATTTTAGAAGAGATTACAAGGATTTTTATTTCTAAATGCAGTTTTATGATTCCCTTAAAGAATGTACCTGAACTTCCGGACACTACAGAGCATTCTAGAACTGACCTGTCTCGTGACTTAGCAGCATTGCATGAGATCTGTGTAGCTCATTCAGATGAACTGAGAACACTCAGTAATGAGCGTGGTGTACAGCAGGTAGGTTTTTACAAACTGGCAATGTTCATATTTTACAAATGGTACATGTAAAAATGGCAAGTGAGCTAATGTTAGTAGTAAGTCATGTTACTCTTTCAGTTACTCTCATACCAAGTGCATGAGCAAAATTACTTGTGAAACCCAGGAAAACTATATGAGAAATGTGAAAAATGACTACAGATGATACAAAAGTGATTCAAGTTAGTGTGGATCATAACTTACACCTTAAAAAACATTAGTCCACATTAGATTTTAGCTGTCTAACAGTAACTGTAAATCTTTTTAATTGACTTAGTGATAAGTCATTGGAGATAGTCTTTCTTGAGCTAAGGAAGTTAAATGGGGAGAAAAGGGAATCACATAGGAAAGTATAAATCAAGATACATCCTAAGTGAAGAATTTCTCCCATGGTTTCAGAAGGTAGTAAATGCTACCTACCACTGCATTCCCTTCTTATCTGGTAGAGATTATGCAAATGAAATTAGAATGGTGATTATAAATTCTCATTAGCCTGAGAGTCTAGAAGCCAATCAGTCCTATCTAATTAGTACAACTAGAAAACATTGCCATTGTTTACCTGCGATTTTCCAAGGTTTATAATGACAAAATTTAGCATAGTAAGATTTTCTCTATTTTGGTTACCTAAAAATACTCAGTTTAAGTAACCAAAACTAAATTTTATGTCTTGAGGAGAATCCCAGTACCCTAAGAATTCCATTGCTTTGATTTAGCTTTTATTAAAACCAATCAAATCCTATAATTGAAATTTTAGACTCTTTATTTGCTTAGTGATTTTTTTCCCCACTGTTTCTCCTGTGTCTAGCATGTACTGAAAAAGCTTCTGGCAATAACAGAACTGCTTCAACAAAAACAAAACCAGTATACAAAAACCAATGATGTCAGGTAGCAGCCTGGTGTTCTGCATGGATTCAGCATGCCCAGTGTGGTAATTCACATCACCATGTCTCCTTTGCTCTTGCCAAAAAGAAAAAAAAAAAAAAGAAAGGAAGGAAGAAAGAAGATAGCACACCTTTCCACATTCCAGTGATGTGTGAGCTATGCAAGCAAAAACCCAAGACCCTGCTGGAGAGTCACTGCCAGCACCTTTGTAAGCTATTTGTGCAGAATAGTGTGCACTTTTCCACATGGAATCTCTACCAAACTCTGAGCCTTGGTGTATAGGTCACCCTTAACAACAACAAAAATGCTATGACTGACTATGTCTTGAACTTTGAAAATATATTTTCAGTATATCCAATTGCCAAAGTTTTGCTGTCTCTTGGAAAAGGAACTATGAAATCAACTGACAAGGAAATGCATCTTATTGACAACAGAATTTAACTGGATCACAGGACAGTTCTTACTGTAATTTCTTCCTTATGAACATGACCATTTGACTGTTCACTGAATTTATTTGTATTTACAGTTTCCAGAGTGACATTATAATGGGAACAATCTTGCTGTATACTTTTTAAAAATACTGTGCTATTCTTTCTGGAACTGTCGAAAGACTCTATAAAATCGATGAATCTATTGCTCATCAGCTTTATTTTTTAAACATACCACTTATTTTGTTGGAATTGTCAAAGATTGTATTTAGATCTCATGCTTTTGTTAAAATGTTTACAACAGTAAATAGCTGAAATTCAATAAATATTATTGGTCATTGTACCAATTATTGCATGTTACCCACTTGACCATTTTAAAGATTGCTGATGTCTTTTATGTTTAAACAAACTGCTAGAATATTTTCTCAATTCTAAGATGGTTTTGGTTATCTCTTTGATTATGCAAGACAACCTCATCAGGCATTTAACATCTTACACATCTTTTAATTTTGTACTTGTTTTCCTGCTGGATATTTAGTTTGTATAGTTCATTTGCTCTTGTGTATGTATTTTTGTGTGAAATATTCACAAGGGTTAAGTTAAAATAAACTAAGGGATAGCTTGCATAACTGATTAGCTTACTATTTAACTTTATTATAATTTTCTTTCTACTTTAGTGATAGTTCAAGCTTTAATAAATCAGAGCAAACTCGGGGGATTTTTATTGTTTCTTTCACAAAATTCCATTTATTTACTCAATATATAATTTGTTACGGAACATGTCTTCCCTCCTGTATTTTCTCAAAGACCAGACTTAAAAACAGTATTTACCACAGTATTCTTAGGAATCAAAATAGTTTTTTTTTTTAAAGAACCACTAAGGGAAGTATTAAGGTATTAATAAAGTTTCCTCAATAAAAATGTTTTTCTGAAGGTCTAGATCCATAAAACATTTGATTGCATTTCTCAAGAGATATTGTGTACAGGGAAAGATGTTATAAGTAATCAAGGTTTATTTCCCTTTGCTGAGGATCAAACTGAGAGGCCTAAATTGTATTCTACAGAATATTATTGAGAGATTTCCCTAGCTTACATATATAGGGCTGATGCTGCCATAAAGGTAATTTACTGTCCTCACATAGCTTCATTCAAGTTAGCTGTGGTAACAAAACCAACCAACCAAACAAACAAAACAAAACAAAAAACCACCCATGTTTCTTGACTTTGTCAGTACAGTTCCTGTTGTTGATGTTGGCTGCACTAAGACAGTAACTCATCTCTGTCCTTAGTTTATAAGGTGCAAGGGCTACAGACGAGTTAATGTAAATGTGGACTTTGGAAAACAGGGAGAGATCCATACTCTAGTTTAAGGCACTTTAGTTTGTCCTCACCGATTGTATGTGAGTGTTCAGCCATGACAGCCTATCTGCTATTTTTTTTAACCTGACATACTTCTCTCTTTTCTACCATTTATTTTTAAAAGAAATCTGACTTATCCTCATTTTTGTATTTTACTGACATGCTTAGTCTCTAAAACTGGAGTGGGAAACTTGTTACTTACCTGCTTAGGCCCTGTAGTAACTAGGTGGTCAGTGATGAAATAAAATCTTTCAAACTTATTTTTAATGGGGCTGGGTAGGAAATTTTCAGAGAAACATGTGGCCCTTGCACTGATGTTAAATTTTTTAGTGATCTGAAAGAAAAACAGACACATACTGCAAGCATTTGCAGTTCTGTCTATAGTCTAGCATGTTGTTTAACTTGAACTACACTCGGGCATATAGGTGTTTGTTTTTACTCTACTTTTATGAAGCCCTACTTTTTAAAATTTTATTCTAAAAGAAAATAAACTCAATTATTAGAGATGAACATGCATACAGAGTAAACATCACCATTTAAAAAACATAACTAAAATGCTACCTACTCTCTTGGGAAGTGTATCTTGGAATATGTAAGCTGGGTAGATTTAGATTCAAGGTAGTTGAGTTTGTCAGAATTTCTTTTATGCCCGTTTTCCAGAAAAAGAAAAATCAAAACAATGGTCTAATATACACATATCTATCTTCAATTGGACCTTAACTGTAACACCTACTATTAATATACAGCAAATATATATTGTATGTCAAGCACTGCTGTGAATAATCCTATCAGAAGCAGGGTTTATCATTTTCCCCAATCTCTATTTGGGAAAATAGCACACTGACATATATAATTAACTAAAGTCGTAGAAAAATAGAGGCATATGTTTTGGGTTTTAGTATTAAGTTATTTCATTTTAAATTTTGAATGTAATTTATCTACAAATTCCTAGTCACATTATATAATGCTCATTTTAATATGGATTTACTGAGATGATCATTTAATGATAAAATTGACTATATCATTTGTTATGACTTCTCTGTAGTAATTTGAGATTTTATTATCTATACTCAAAAATTTTATTTTTATTTAAACCTAGATGTCAGTACTTGCTTGGAATAAAATTTAGTGCCTAAGTACTAAGGAAGTGCCCAGTACATTCTACAGCTTAGTAAATAGTTCATAAATAGCTGAGTCTACTGGAGAAACATTTGAGAAGCATTTGTAAGAGCTTCTGGAGGATGGAACCTGTTTCCTTAGCTCTTCAAATGTTTACCTAGTGCTCAGTTTTTTGTTTTCTGGTATATTGCTTCTAAATGGAAAGGTTTGTTTATGACCACAGTTTGACTTTGGCCACCACAGGAGGACATGGTGTGCTACTAATCCTAGTGGGTTATGAATATTCAAGCTAGGTGGCATTCAGCCTCTTCTGAAGCTATATTTTATATAAAACAATCACAAAGGAAATATATATAACAATTAGAAAAAGTTTAATATATTTTGATGTTTTCACATTGTACTATTTTTAGAAAGTAAAATGTCAGACATGCATCCTACTTCCGTTGGTTAATAAGTACTGCTGCAGTCATTTATAATGGTTAGAGAGAATCTACCAGGTCATCGTCAGTCCATTCCTCCTAAAGGGAAAAAAATGTTGTAAGGGTAACATTTAAGTATTGAGCCATTTGTTGTTTACCTCCCTTTAAAAAAATGGGGACTGACAACAGTCTACTATAGTTGTTTTGTTTTGTTTTGTTTTTTTGAGATGTTCTTCTACTATGACTGCAGCCAGCTTTGGATCCTGCTGTATCTCAAGTGCTTGTACTACAGGTATGTGCTTAAGTCCTGCACTTCACTGTGATAATGACATGGCAGCTGCCCACTCTGTGAAGAGTATATAAAGGCTATCCTTTTTCCTGTGCTTATTTTGACTTCCTAAGAGACAGTTTTTAAAACTGGGGTAAGGCAAGGGAAGAATCCTTAGAGAATAGAAAAAATTTAGCATCACTGTCTTCTATCATAGGAAGTTACTTCAATCAAGTAGCTTACATTAGAAGTGGCTCATGGTCAAATAGACCATGGATAGGCTTCCTGATAGCACCATGTAACAAGCAGCTGCCACACAGCCTCCTACCATGGATTCTAATCCCCCTGAACTGTTACCCAAAATAAATCTTCCCCTTAACGATTTCTTTAAAGTTCAGACTGTACATAAACAGGTGAGTAAAAAAAACTTATACTTTCAAACTTCAGAGGTACTAATGTAGTCCTAATACTCGGAAGGCTGAGGTAACGGAACTGGGAGTTCAAGACCAACCTGGGCTACAAAGCAAAACACTGTTTTAAACATTCTCAGCCCCACTTGTCTATAAAGCTAATTAAACATTCTCAGCCCCTCTTGTCTATAAAGCTAATAGTTTAGAACAGTACATCCTAACTTAGGTCATGCCAGAAAATCCAAGTGATAACAAGTTTATCTTAATTAGGGGAAAATATACCTCTTCTTGTTTTGGTTTCTTTGATACATAGTCATCATCTTCATAGCCTTTCCTCTTCTTCCTATAATTAAACAATTATCGATTAGCAAAACTTGTAGTGGCAACAAAACCTATAAAATAGGCTAGCAAGACTATATATGAATTATAACCCAGTGTGGTAGCCCACAACTACAATGACAGCACGCAGACTGAGGCAACAGTATTGCCTTGAGTTCAGACTAGCATGGGTTAACAAGAGTGAGACGCTATCTTCAAAAACAAAATACATTTCTACTGAAGAATAGGGACTAGATAGCTGGAAAGGTATTATTTGCGGATACAGAAGGAATATTTAATATTTAGTCCAGTGTAGCAAGAACCTGCAAAGATGAAAGCAACAACAGCAAAAAGGTTGAACATACCCATAAATCCCAGTTCTTGTGACTAACGGGATTTTTGGATAATCCTTGGTTACACAGTGATACCCTGCCTCAAGTAAACATAGCAAAGAGAATCTAGAGGAAAAAAATGTTGGAAGTCATTGTCTTGGGCCTCCTAAACCAGACTCTGTTGAGGAACAAATAAAGGAACACACTATAAAAGCTATGGTTATTAAGAATATGCGGTGTTAATACATCAATGGTCAAAGCAGACAGGCAAAAATGGCTCCGCACATCTGGTGAGAGACTCAGTGTGGTTAGACACAAAGATGGACAACCTGGTTTGTTCCCTGTGGCCATATGGAAAGAAGAGAACTGACTTTTGCATGCTGTCCTCCCCCCACCCCCAGGCACTTGCTTATTAAGTACATACTCAAAATACAATAAATACATGTGATTTGAAAACTGGCTTTACCTTTTCATTTTATTTGTGATTAAAAATTGTCAACTAAGAAAACCATAAAATAATATTCAAAAACAAACTAGGAAAACTACTAATATTGGTTAAAAAAACAAACAGATCCCCCCAAAACCCTTACCTAAGCATTTCTTTGTCAAGGTAGTGTAAGAAAAAATGTATGTAGGATAACCATCTTTTTTAAAAAGATGTTAATATATAATGTATTACAAGAATAAAATTCCAGAACCAATGCAGAAAACTTACAAATGGCTATTAAACTTGGAAACATCATTAGTTACAATAATCAGGGAAATGCAAATGGTCAAGGTGACACTATTTTTTTTCACCCAGACTACCAAGAGATAAAGATTTTGTTAAGTGCATGATGTGGACATATTACCATAAACAAGTATTTTATGCATTTCTACACAGAAAAGGTTGGCTGAGGGTAGACCCATCTGATAAGTTACTTCTGAGATCAAGATCTGCTATTTGATTAAAGGAAACATTGGTGTTTATTCAGTGAGTGACTTAGAATACAGTTACTGTATACTGAAAAATAAAGGCAAAAATGTTAATGATCAAGGAAAATAAATGCTTTGTGCTGAAGTAGTACTACTTAGTGTTGTTCATGAATTGTTTCCAGCCTGCAGTGAGAGGAGCGTACAGACACTGTGTACTTAAAAACTATACAGCAAACTGACAGTAACTTTTGTCTGGTGAATCTAATAGAATTTAAACTTATATTTTTATGTCTATTTCATTTTGGAGAAATTGATTGTATTTATAAAAGTATACATCTGTAATAATTTTTAAGTCCTTCCTATACAAAGAAATTCACTCATAGGAATGTAGAACTTTTTTGGCAGAGTGCAAAGCAAATGGCAACTTGGAATAAAATGTAAACTCTCTCAATTAGAAATGTCTGGATTATGGCCCATTCCATTACTAGCTAAAACAGAATTAATAAGTCAAATGATCCAACTAGGAGGACAAATTAGTAAATTCTTCAAGTTTATAAGCCATGCAGCTTCTACC